ACCGCGAAAATGGCAACAGAAGCCGAAAACAAAAGAAATTAGCACAATTATGTAATAATTTATGCTTAATTAATGTATTTAATTGAAAATCTAATTGTAACTGTATATTTTTTCTATGAAGAGCAAAGAAAACCCTTAATGAAGAATAAAACTTGTATAAAAATTATAATTAAGATTCGCAATGATATACGTAATAAATTCTCCGATTAGTTAACACACATCAAATCAGCTCGGCTTAAAAAAACCCTTTGTTACATAGCTATACCAACATCCATTTGTAGATGGTTAAAATAAATTGAATGTAATACATGAACTTTCAAATATTAGTAAATGTAAATGTTGATAGGCGAAATAAAAATACAAAATTATAATAGAATATCCATAAAACTCAAACCCAAGCAGAACTAGAAGCATAAAAATAAGCAAATACATGCGCATCATTGTGTACTATTATGGGCTAAATGTTAATTATTAACTAGATTGTACAATTCAAATGTAGTTCATACTATTTAAAATGCAAAAACGGAAGGAAGATGAATAAACTGATGATTCAATATAAGACACAATTGATTGTTTTTAAATACTGCAAAGGGAAATTGTTGAATTACCGATCGTTTGTATGGCAGCTTAAAGGTGTTATGTCGGAAATGGCGATAATCAGCTAGTGACATTGACTAAAAATATATATACTTTATATGTTTGAAAATGGCTGCAAAAAATTAAAAGAAACGCATCGAAATTGGATGGAATCGAACTCACATTACTGTTTAAAAAGCTTTGCATTAAGTCACTCTTTAATCAGCTCAGCCACTGCGGGAGCGGCTCGCGGTTATAAAAAGAATGCGAAAGAGAGAGAGGGATAACCATGCATGCGGCTCACTCACTCACTCACTCACCGAGCAACAAACAACATGTGCAACACGTGACTGTTGCGATTGTGATGTATTAACTGTGATGGTGAATTCAAAAGAAATATTGCTTTTGTTCCTTTTAGTGTTTTATTTTTAATAATATTTTATTTTTTATGTATTTAGTTTGAAAACAATATCTACTGCTTTTACAAAAAGCAGTTAACTGCTTTTGGTCAATTTTACATTAAATTACACGTAACATTCTTGTCAACTACATTACCCATGTCAAAAAAAAGGCGCCATCGGACGGCGGTTCAGTTAAGTAAAATACTTGTATAGCATACACAATTAAAAAAAATTGTTAGAGTGGTATGTTTTGGATTTGACACAATTTTTTTTTAATTTAGTTAAAAGCAGTTTCAATTTAGATGATGAAATTTAGAAGCATAGAGCATACACTTTCTATATATATCCCATACAACTTTTTTACAGCTAATTAAGTTTTTTAAAAGCCTTTAAATAATTTAATGATGTAAAATAATGAAAGCATTAACATGCATTCTTAGATTTCTAAAAGGAAGTCATCCCCAAATAAGCTCAACAGTTGTGACTTCCGAGTCAACACTAAGCTATCATCACTTTCCCAATATTTGCCACTTCCAGCTCAATTCGTATGCGGAGTGATATGTAAACAAAAACTTAAGGCGCAGTTAGTATTTCCTTAAAAACGAGTAGTTGCCGCTTTCCTCTCGATCTTTACAGATATCAGCAGCTGATTGAACGTTGACCGCTTGAACACTGGAGCACCTACTCCACAAAAGGCCGGAAACTTTCAATTCTGCAGCATTGTGTAAAGTCTTTCAAGCCAGACAAACCGGCCGGGGCAGAGTTTTTTAATATATTTGGGCGCAGCTTTCGTTTTCGATATCAGTCAGTTGCATTTCAAGCTTTGAACGCTGCAGTTGTGGTCTAGCACACCTACCCAAAAGCACCACATACGAAGTAATACCACATAAAAAATTTCAGCTCATTTATATATGTGCGTGGAATTTCTAATTTACATACACAGTAACAAAAAATCGGTTATAAAACGTATACAAAGGTTCAAATTTTTTGCTATAAACATACACCTAAAATGTGGATTTTATAATACTAAAACTTTCTTAATTGCAAATAATTTCATGCTGACATAAAAAGTCATCAAAAAAATATAAACATTATTTTTTGTGTAGTCACGTTTTCCGTAAAATACTCGATTTCGGTTTCGATTCGTTCCGTTTTGTTGTGTTCTCAGTTTCGTTGGGAACTCGACTTTCTAAATGCTAATAGAAATGAACTTAAAAATGGGCGCGTCACAGTCTACAAGTCATCTACTTCCTGGATAATCCAAACAAAGGGGAACGCGTAGTTAATTCTTAAACAGCTCAACTAAATGAAGCGTTTTTTTACAAGCACTAGTAAGGTGCCTTGCATATTAAATATGACGACTTTTTTGCTTAACGATCTATTGGCAGGGCTGCGATATGATATCATATCGCAAGCAAATCTCAAAGATTTCTGTTATTTTATGGCGTTGGTTTTTTTTTTTTGTTTGTTTATTCGAATGCAATTTGCATTTATAGTACTTTTATTTGTTTAGGTCTCACAAAAATAATATGCAAAACTTTTCATGAGCTCTTTACTCTGTGGATACTTGTTCATTTTGTATTTGGCAGGCAATGGGATCACACCTTTGTTGGCCTTTGGCAAAAATTGGTAAATCTAAGGTCAAAACTGTGTGAAAAATGTGTGTGCCAACTACTATACAAAGTGTCTAGTACTTTTTCTAGAAAAATATAACAAATAGTGAAAAGATTATGGGCCATCTGATTTATAAAAATCATGATACCACACCACTTTTCCTTTCACTTTATACTCTCTTTTAAGAAAGATAGTTTTCATTAATGAGAATGGATATCACTTTTCTCAAGAAATAACATGAGATAAACAAAAACATTGACATATATATTTAGTAATGGATATGGCCTATAATAATTGTCTGCAATTCATTCTTGATGTAATTAAACGCTTGACGTGCCGGACAAGCAAAGAAAATGGGCAGCATTCAATTAAGCCGTGATTCAGCAGTCGCCGCCCATCTTATATATATATATATATATAACGAACAGGCGATGCGATCGGTGGCTCAGTTGCTGATCGTCGTCCGTAGATTGAAGTACTAGCTCCCGAGAGCTCCGCGTGAAAACCTGGAACCTACTTAACCACTTAAATTGACAACAATTGCCAGGAAAATTGGTAAATTAGCGGATAACTAGGTTTTCCCATTGCAACTGACTCTAATAAGGGAGCAAAACAGATTTTTTTACAACCGTACCAAGTTTAAGTGATTTGATTTAAATATTCAGTTGGTGGTCAACTGTAAGATTTGTATCTTAAAATGATGTTGCCTTGTGCTGTCTAAGTTGTAATTGCCAACTTAACGTCTCAGATTGTTTTGTGATTTTCGTGAGACGATTTTGAGTCAAGGTCGATCTTTCGCTTTAAGCTCCAACTGGTCCAACTGCAACCGGTTTTTGGTTATAACTCTGGCTGTTATCAAACGGGCCAAAGCTCTCGTGGCCCCGTCTAGCTCGGGTCCAAATTAGTTGACCAGCAATTAGCGACCTCTCGTTAAATTTGTCTTGCTTCTCTTACAATTAGCCGCATCGACAGAATGAAGCTGAGCTCGGGATTGTTTTTGATCTGCGCCGCTTTGCTCGGCAGCACGTCGGCCACAGATGTCAGTCCCTGCCCGAAATGTAAGTATCAATAAAATAAATACTATTATAACGAAGAATCCAAGCAAAATAACAACGAACTGCAAAGGCATGTTTAAAAAAATCACATAATCGTTTTTTAATTAATGAAAGTAGTTCTTTAGTGCACTAACGTAGTTTTTAAATGTGAAGATAAGTCTATTTTCTTATTAAATCGGTCGGATACACAAATCAATTATAAATTTAGATGATCTAATTTTAACCGAAGTACATTGCTACATTTTTTTAAATATTTTTTAAAAATAATATGTTTTAACAACAATATAAAACAATAATTAAAATTATGAGGGTATCTTAATTGTATATTAATAGCTGTAATACCCTATTTGAAATATAATACGATATTTTTATGTGAATATTCTATTTAAAAATAATTAAAACTTTGTAGGCACATTTTTTTTTTTATAAAGATTTGTTCAATTATTGAAAAAAAAATATAGCTCATGCATTTATTTTAAAGAAGCATAAATAATATTGATAATAACTTTTAATGTATGTTTCGTATCCGACGTGCAGCCAAATCCAAGGCTCTGGGTGCCGGCGAGGTGTCCATCTCGAACTGCCCGAAGAGCAAGTGCATCCTGAAGCGCAACACGGAGGCCAGCATCGAGATGAAGATTCGGCCGGAGCGTGACTTCCAGGAGCTGACCTCCGACATCCAGGGCATTATTCTGGACGTGCCGCTACCCTTTCCAGGATACTATGGCACTAGTGCGTGTCCTCACATTTACGATGAGGCCGGCGAGAAGAAGGTGGGCTGCCCACTGAAGGCTGGCCAGGTGTACACCTACAAGAACAGCTTCAAGATCCTGCCCGTCTACCCAACCGTCAGCTTGGAGATCCACTGGGGACTGGGCGACAAGCACGGTGACGCGGCCTGCTTTCAAATACCCGCCAAAATAAAGGCCTAGGCCCAGAATGACAGACAAGTGCAATCAATGTTAGCTTTTATTAGTGGTAAATCTTAAGATCGTAATCTGCATATGCTTAGTTATTTAGTTAGGGATTAAGTACGGTTTAGTGAACGAATACGAAGCGGGCCATTATTGCGGCATCCAGCCAGTGACGCAAAATGGCCAAAGGATTTCCACTGATCGACTCAGTAAATCTAATAATAAAAAACCACAACGAATTTCATATATTTGGTGCCTGCTCCCATCTTTTTCCTGCCTTGTTTAATTGTTTTAAATTGGTTTTTAATTGATGCCGGCATGCAATGATCGCGTGTGATAAATATCTTTGAATTTCGCTCTTGTCTCTGTTCTTGTTGTTGTTCTTGCTTAGCTAGCGTGTTATATGCGTAATTTCAATTTGGCATTCTTATTTGGAAAGTTCACTTTGTGAGATCGTAGGTCGGCACCTGGTCCATTTCGTTTTCGGCCTCGATTTGGGCTTGCAGCGCCTGTTGCAGTTTCCGCCAACTTTCGGCGGCTGCATCGTACTGGCCGCCCCTGCCACGCCCCTGCTGTAGCTGATCCTGCAACTGCCGATATTGATAGCGATGCTGCCGCATCAGCTGCGTCCACTTCAGGCCATTCCGGTTGCGATCCTCCGATTCTCGACGGACCGAAAGCACAGGCACTGCCACGGCTAAGTTGCTAGCACTATTCGCATTGGTATTGCTGTTGCTGTCGTCGTCGTTGTCATCGGGGCCGTTCTGGTTGTTATTGTTGTACAGTTGCTCCGCCAGGGTATCAATTGCATATGAGTTGGATCCAGGTTGCTTAAGGATAGCAAAATATAATTCAGGTTTATTAAAGTTTTCATCATAGCAAAACTGTTGCAAATATATGAACATCAAAAATAAACATTAAATTGGCTTATTAATACATTTTGTTATTTATTAAAAAAAAGTATATATAAAAAAATATTAAGTAAGTATGTATTTTAAAAAACATTGTGACATTCAAAATTTTTAATGTTAAATTTTACTATGCAATTTTTCTCTGGGTGTATATAAATCAGTTTTATTAATTATTTCAAATTAAAAATATTTATTTTTTGCATTCAACGTGGTAAACTATATATTCATTTTTAAAGCAAAGCGAATTTATATATTCAAATTTTACGAAACCAACTAACGACTCATAACAAAACCAAAAAATTACATATTTTAAATGAAAGGAATGAGGTTTTAGTAAGCAAGTCCCTGGTATTAAAGTACGTATATTAAAGGCCTCTAATCCTGAATTGCCTTACCTGCTTGGCATCTATTACCGCCTTGCCGCCGGATCTTTTGCCATGAGCTGTGGAATACATATACATGAAGCATAGGCAAGTTGTGATGAACTACCTCTTTCTGAGCTTAACCATCGAGCACTTACCTCCCCAACAAGAATGTCCGTATTCCAGGCAGGAACCTGAAAGTATGCAACATTTTTTCTTTTCAATTTAGAATAAATCATCATCAGTTGGCACAGCGCTAAGACTTTGTGCACGTAAATTTGCTAGAAAATGAGCCAGGAGCCAGAAACCACCCGCGAGCCTAGGCCAAGGCTTTAAAACTTTCTCTTTTACGATTCACCAGTGAGAGCTGCTTCCTTGTGGCCTTTCACCTGCAACCCATTGATGCTGCTACTTTGGAAGCTACTCTCCCTTTAAAAGTCACATGTTTATTGTGTGCTTGGCTACTAATGTCGCGACCTATGATAAATGTGGCTATTACAGAGCTCATATGCCAAGCCAGAGCGGGTTGAGTAATGCACTCGAATAGGGAGCAGTCCTAGTCCTGCCTCCCAGTGCGTGAAAAGTTGCATATATACTGAGAGAAAATATGACAAATACTTTTCTAAATTTATTTTTCAAAAATATATAATTTAAGTTTGCAGTACTTTGTTTTTAAAAGTAAGTGACAATACTATACTTTATTAAATAATGAACAAAAAAATATTTTTAATTCTCTTGGAGCCAATCAAATTAGACTTTAATCATTAAAGAAAACTATAAAAAACCCTCGCATATAAGATGTTTTCCTAAGGTTTTTGTTTAAGTTTAAGAAAAATGAACATAGTAAAAAACAATTTTACGGTTGGTTTTCAAAAGAAAATATTTTTAAACACATCTTAATTACTATCCGTTTTTAAATAAAATAATTCTTTCATTTTAGTTTACACTTTGTAAGTTTCAGGACTATTTATATTATATTTTTCTCACTTATAGCCAGTAATGACGCTTCCGGAAGGCTGTGTTTCTTATAAAACGATTTATTTTTCTCAGCTTAGATAAGTAACTTCTCGTCTACCTACAGGTCCAACCTGTGGCTGTGCATAACGCTTACACAACGTCCTTGACGCCGCCGTGAGCCTGCATTGTGTGCCAAAAAAAGAACTTGGAAGAGGTGGCGAGGCAAAACTAATCACACAAATGGACGGCAACGCATCACCGTGAAAGGAAGTGGACTCAGCTGGGACAGGACGACCGGAAAGGGATGTGAATACGCTTTGCGCAACTGTCAGACGACGGAAGATCTGCAACAAAGAGCAGGAGTTACGGCAAATAGCAACAAGCAACAAGTTCCATGACGCAGATGGGTCAAATGTTTTGAGGGAGGGGCTGGCTGGCGTTTGCATAAGCCAAGATAAATGTATATTATACACGCCTGGCCAGACGATCCATGATGGCTGGTGCGGCTGTTGCTACCCCGGTCATATATCAAACCCGTAATCATTTGTCAATTACTTAAACCGTGGATTAATTGTTGCCGGGCGGCCACGAAGCCCATGCATCGGGCATATGAAGCCCAAACTTGTTGACAGGCATGGCGGCCATCAGAGATAGCGATTCCCAACATCGAAGCCTTTTGGGGTCGCCGCATCGAAGGGCTGTCATTAAACTGAGTCCCCCATTTAACAGCCCTCTTCTGCGGAATCCCACAACCACACCCCTTTTCGCAGTCAGCAGCAGAGATACCTAATTAACTTGACCAGCGCATTTTAATAGCCGTATCCTTGATCTTGGCCAACGTTAGCGTCTCCACTTCTAAATAACGACTTTTTTAATAGTCTGAAATTGCTGCGCAATTCGTTTGAAAACCCACGTTAGCGATGACAGAGTATTACTATCTAGGTTTAATTGTAATTTTGTGTAATTTTTTTTATTTTGGGGAGTCCCCCGGCAGAACAGGTTCCTCTCGACACCATTTCAAGATGAAATACTAAGGTTAATTATTATTTTATAGCTGCGACGTTCATATACCTATTTTTGCATTTGCAAAAATTTATATTTTTTCGATTTTTACGCGTCAATGTTTAAAATTAGTGAGGCAACAATGAGTTTTGACTGAATTATTTAATCGTTGCTTAGTTCCTGTTCGATATTGTTGTCCGATTACAAAATTAAAAAACTGGTTCTGTAATAATAAACCAATAATATTAAGTGTATTTTATCAAAGTGTAATAGAAAAAAGTTATATTTATTTTCCTTTATTTTTGCAATTGTTCGGGCCAATCCGGCTCGTTCCAACTTATATACTACCTAAAATAGAAAGACAACTTTTGAGAAAGTTTAAGATAGCTTTAGAACTGAGAAACTAGCTTGCGTAGAATAGTTCGGACATATATAACTACTTTATATCACCCCTTTTAAATATTAAAAAGGACAGATTCCTTTTTGGTCTTTAATATGGACCATATTACATATTCTGGATTTGGATTCTGACCTTTTTTTTGTTTATTGTTCGAAATAAATTATAAACCTTCTAAGTCTTACACACAGCAAATAATTTTAGAGACTCCACTATGTATCTCTGACCTGAACCTAACCCAATCCGCATTTACCCAAAATAAAATTTCCACAGCAGAAAAGCGGTTCTTTTGCTCATGGCCAATCTCTGCGGGAATCAGGGAGGCAGGGAAGATATCTTAGTAGAGGGGAACCGCACACAATTGCAATTCCTGCAGGCGGCACAGCCTGGCAAATTCTCACGTTCGGTTTGGGCTTTTATTTTTCCATTCTGGCTGACGCTCTTTCCGCGCCTCCGTGGGTTTCCATATTAGGGGTATTTCCATTACCACCGTGTCAAGAGTGCCGCTTTTCGCAGTGATTCACACAAACAAAATTTATGATTGTAGATTGAATGTTATATTTTTGTAATAAATATATAAATATAGATTTGCATTTCTGAAGGCAGTTTTCTTCAATCAATTAATCAATGTATTTATGCAGCGAAAAAATATATTTTGGTAATGGTTTTTTTACAATTATACATATTATTGCAAAGACAATCTTATGTACTTTAAGTAAGAAAAAAATAACACGCTAACTTAAATAAAACACCATATATTTTTGATTTAAATTCTCAAAACCAATATACCCATATTAATACATAGGAATCATAAAGTTCAAATATAATAATTTCTTTCTGTGTGATTGTTGTTTGGCACGCAGTTTGGATTAATTTACGATGGCAATCAAAATCGTTAAAAGCGTACATGGAGGGTCGGCGCGAAGGGCGAAATCGAGCCCCTGATCTCTCCGACCCGTTGCGTAAAACCGACCCCTTCAACCCCCCCATTTCCATTTGTTAACCTGCATTCGCGGTGAGTAAGGTACAAATACGTAGAAAAACCCGAAAAAGGGAAGCCACCGGACAAGCGAGCAAACAAAGGCGTATCAACAGGAAAATGTGCATAAAACTCTAACTGATAAAGCGGATTAGAAGCGCAAATGGGAATAGCGGATGGGGAGTTCGGGAAATGGGAGCTGGAGTTTTCCCAGCTAACCATGATATTGGTAACACGTATTACCAGTTAGTTAATCAGTTAGTAGTTTGGTATTTATATTGCCTAGATTGGCCACTAAGTTCTTGGAAATATGACTAAGCAAAACAATAAATTTCATCATTTGGGTTAAGCCTAAAAGTATGTTTCAAAGTGATTACCGTGGATTAATTTAGAAAACGATAAAACTTTTATAATTATATTTTGTTTTTTTAAATAATTAAGATTTATTTACAAAATTTTAAAAACGATTTTGTTACAAACTTTTTAACTATTATAAACTTTTATTCTATTTATTTAATGATTGTTTCTATCCTATTTTTATTTTCCAACCATTTTGAAATTAAATATTTGTAAGTAAAAACGAAAGAGAAAAATGAATGATTTGCTTTGGATTTTAAAAACTTTAGTGTTTAAAAATACATTTATTTGGAAATGGGGAAATCATTTGTTTTTGAGCATGATATATATATTGAACTGGTGTAAAAATTAGTGTTAAATTAAACTTTACTTTGATTAGATTTTTGAACTTATCTAGCAAAATTTCGCAAAAGAAATCTCGGTATAAAGCTATTATTTTTTAACATTTGTGAAATATTTATTTATATTTGTATGATAAATAGTAAACACTTGAAGATCTTATTTGATTTTTAATAAGTACGGGGGAAAAAATGGCTTATAAAAATTACAATCATTAAAACGCATATTAATTTAGCATTTAATGTTTTTTTGGCGAAATTTTGAGAAAAATCATGATTTATTTTGTTCACATTAAATTTATGTCTTCAATAATATATTTTTTAGAAAATATTTTTACCTGTCACAAGGGCAAAGAGCGTCACCAACACCACCAAAGTCCAACTGCACTTGCTGTACCACATTTTTCAAGAGAATTTGTTTAGCAATCTCCACGCAAATTGTTCGACGTCAATTATAATTTGCTTGAGTTGTGAATAGTTTTGGAAACTTTTAGCCAACTTTTAGAACCGTACACTTTTCACACAATCTTTGGACTTGATCAGAGTCAGGTGCCAACGCTCTTCGAATTGCCAACAAACTGTGGTCGGCCAACGGCTTTTATAGCTTGCAATATAACGCCGCAAAGATAACGGGACAGCCAATACGAACGGTACTGCCGAATGGGAAGCCTCCTTCACGAAGAAATCCGAGCGGAACCGAAGCGATCCATCTGCCAATGAGCAGTTAGACGGAGGCTCCCACGCAACAGGCTGCCGAGTGGGTGGTGGGCGGTGGGTGGAGATTTGGGGGTGGGTTAACGTACAGTGGGTGTCAAAATGTGGGGCATTGTGTGGGTACCAGATGCGTAGTCACAGATATTTAAAAGGAAATATTCCACTAAAAGTTGACACTCAGTTGTACACTTTTCACTGAACTTTTCCTAGCATACTTTTTTGGGTATTCTTCAAAGGTGTCTATCCTAACTCACCCCCTTTTGCGACACCTTTGACCAATAGTCAAGCTATAAAACACGAGTAACTCAATGCAGTTGGCCCCCCACGAAAGCCAGGTTCAGTTTGTGGCAAACAGCTTGTAAAACTTTTAATTACAGAGCAACTTTTCTTTAGCAAAACTATTGAAATTTGGAAAAATTATTCTTTTAAATTTAACAACTTTAATTTTATGTATATATTAAAATATTGCTTTCAATAATTTTGAATAAATTTATAAGATTTCCAGAGCAATTGAAATTGTCTACTATGGATGCCTCTCTTTACAGTACCACCCAGCAAAAAGTCACCTTTAAACACACAAGGCACCTGAACAATATTTTATTGGACTGTCCTTACAAGAAATGGTGTGTGAATATAAAATGGGAGCAAGCGCGACAAGTTTCATTGTGCCAGCGAATGGTTGGTGGTGTATGGTGTGTTTACTGGCAAGCTACCAAATATAGCATTTCATCGTAATCATTTAGTTTCGAACGCAATCCGGAAGCAAATTACAGAAGTCTTCGCCGGAATAATTAGTGTCACAGGAGGTGTTACTGGTGGTGTTGCTGAGTGAGTGTGGACGAGGTTATATGCAGCAATTTAATGTTTCTTTTGGTTTGGTTTGTGTAGCAGGATATCTGCAGGGCTACTCCAGTTTGGCCAGGATGTCGCTCTCGCGGAACAACAAGTACTCGCGCTTGTCGTCCATGTCGACCTTGGTGCCCCCGTATTTCGGCAGCAGCACGCGATCGCCTTCCTTCACGCCAATGGATAGGTGTCCAGATCCAGCCGGATTGCGGGCTCCAGGTCCAACGGCCACCACCACGCCCTGCATTTCCTTGGGCACCGACTCCTCCGGCAGCAGGATGCCCCCAGCAGTGGTCGTCTTCACCTCGAAGCGCTGGATGAGGATGCGGTCCAGCATGGGAATTACCTTTTTGATCACGTTAGACATCGTCCTCCTTTTAGAGATGTCCGTCTAGGGTCTAAAACTAAACAATTTCGCTAGAGTTAAACATTTTTCACTTTCCCTTCACTTACCTTTTTAAGGTTTTAAAATTTTTTTTTCAGTTTTTTAACTATTATTTTTTAAATTTTTGTTTTGTTATTAGCCGGACGATGTGTTTAGTTAGCTTCCCAGCTGTTGACTAATGAATGTTGGGTCGTGCCAAACCTAATATGGCTAGCTGAAAAAGTCAAGGCTACAGTGATACGACCACAAATCTTTTCTTCAAAAGGCAACTACGATCAGAAAACAGATTGGAGCTGAAAAAATTTGTAGAACACAGACATTTTTAGGAAAGTTAAGGTCTAAATCCAAATTAAGGTAATATGTTATTTAAGAAAAACAGGCACTGCCTTGAATAAAACGGAAAATTTAACTACAACAAATGTTTTTTGTAAAAATATATTATGTTAAATTTAAGTAAAAATTTGAAAAATAAATAAGTTCTTTCAGAACATTTAGTCTAAAACTATATATATACAAAAAATATATATATATAAAAAACTAAATACTTAATTTACAATCTTATATATAATTTAGAAAAAGAAATTAAAGTAAAAAATATTTCTGTACAAAAATAAAATGTTCCAAAAACAACGCTGCGTATGCAAATTGCTCTCGTCTATCCAGCTTTAATGAACTCCAGCACGTGACTTACTAATCGTGAACGTCAAATTAAATTCTTCTAATTAAGAACAAAGCGCAAACCGCAAAATTAAAGCCAAAGCAGCAACCGACTTTAAAATGAGTTGGATCAGAAGCGAAAACAAGATCCACTCTAGTGACGTTTTGCTTGACTGCTTTCTTTTATTAATTTCCAACACTCAGCGCCACCTGTTGGCAGCTTGCCCCACTAGGAAGTGGGGGTGGGGTGGTTGTATGGCCGTCCCTCTCTCGCTGCCTGTCTGCCGCTGTGACGGTGTGTGTGTGTGGGGCTTCCTTCCTTGTGGGTACGTGCCTGTCTGTTGGTGTGTGTGAGTGGGTGTTTGTCTAAACTTTTGGCGTGTTAAATGCTGTTTTGTGTGGCTTTTTTCATCACATTGTTTTAATATACCCTGTATATTTAGCGGTCTGGGGTATAACATAAAGTGAAGATTTGTAAAATTGAAATTTTGGATGCTAATCTTAATTTTTGTCCTTTAATCAAAATTTTGATATGATACATTTTTTGATTACATTAAATTTTGTTTGATTTAAAAGGATCCAAACGAAATAAATAATTACATATCAACATGGTTTTGTAATGGATTTTTGTATATATGAACTTAAAAAATAATTAAATTAATTAAATTTGAACAGAAAAACAATACAAGGTATCGCAAAGTACAGAAAATCATAAAAGGCTTACCCATTTGATTTTTTTTCACTTTACCTTCCTGCTGTGTGGCCCGCCCGATTTGCTCGTAAATCACAAACTTCATAATTTGTACGTCACTTTGCGGACGTGTGTGTATGTGCTTGGCTTTTGCTCCTCTTGCCGCTTGTTTCTAGCCAATTCTTTTTTTTGGCCTTACGTGACGTTGGCAGAACAAATCGCTTTTGTTTTAGCCATCTGACTTGTTTGCTCCTTTATGGCCCGCTGCGCTTTGGACTTTGACGCATTTGCGTCGTATTAATGCGGGCTATGCTTTTGGCCAATCCTCCTTGCAATTTTTTTGAATTTAGCCAAGAGTTCCATTTGGCTGATTGCATTTTCATAACCATTTGCAGGATTACTAATGCGCTATTTTGCCCCTGCATTTGCATGACCTTGAACCAGTCGCAACCTCATTAGAATTTCATTTGTAGTCAACCGGGCGCAGACGACAGCACCCGAATCGATAAGACCCAAACGTATTTTATGGCCAAATTACAATTTCACCAGAGTGAATCCTTATAAATATACGGAAAATAAGCGGGCGCGGAATATGCTAAGCTTTATTTGCAGCCAAGGGAATAATTTTATCATCCTTTAAGGTATACCTAGGATATATACACAATTTACGTACATATAAATATCTGGTTATTAAACGAACTTGGTCCGTCATTTGAATTGAGTTATTTATAAACACTAATTTTTAAAGGGTTTACGTTAAGGAATATAAAATAAGTATCTAAACATTTTTGGATGCTGCTTAAATTAAGGCATTCTTATTTATAACGCTAAAAGCACATCTGTGTTTCACTTTGGTATGTTTGTAAAACATTTGGTTATTTAAAATTTTTTTTGTATTTAACTTGCTTAAATAATTGTTTATTAAACAAAATATTTTCTTGAATTCTTTAAGACCTCTTGACTAATTAAATGTTTCGAGGATGTAGGAACAGGATCCATTGAGTCATGGAGTTTATATTTATATTTGTAATTCTTTTTTAATAACATTCCTATATTTAAGTGGTGGGTGTTCATATCATAGGTGAGTGATTTATATCAGCAGTTATTAGAATCAAGCTATAAACCTCTCAGGCTATTTAAGAGTAAGTACCCCTGAGCTCTGACCAAAGTTTAGTTTAAAGAGCATCAGCTTAATGAATAGTATGAGTTTAAAAGTCCGACTATTCTTATACTAAATAATTCTGAATACTTGAAAGACTAGTTCGGGCGTTTCCTGCCCGATTCAGCTTCGATATCCGACGCTGCATGAATGAAAAACGTAATGTTTAGAAGAGAGCTCGCTTGTGATTAACTTCTAATTGCCAAATGCAAATGAATGCAAAAGCAGTTAAAATTAAACGCTTTGGTAGCAGCAGCATTAGCAGTGGATACTCCGGCGGCGGCAAAAAAACTGGCTTATACAGAATTCATGGCCTTGATCATGGCGTACTGCGAGGCGACCGGCGGCTTGTTCAGGGGGTTCTGGGTGGAGTGCACAGATGGGGGCGAGTTAGTATCGGATCAACCCACTGATTATAGGGGCACTTGCCTGCATTGCCGACTGCTTCGCCTGCTCCGCCGACTCAATGGATACGCGCTGCGTCTGGCTGGAATTGGTCAGTGCCCGTCTCAATCGCCGCGATTCGATGTTGTTGTTCAGCGAACCCTTCGCCACCTTTTTGCCAAAGAGAACGGCCTGAAAAGTAATCTATTAGTACTCCGCAACTTTATGAAAAATATGTAAGAAAGTGTCACAAGTTGTAAAAAAGATATTTAGCTAGCACTTTATAATCTATATATATTTTATTTCTAATAAAATAATTTTTTTGCCCAAAAATAAAGCTTTAACTTATAAACCTTTAAAAGACATATATATATTTTAAACACCTATAAAATGATATTGTAAAGTAATAGCTCCACATCTACAGGTTGAAACTTTTTAAAAAAACAAATTTTCTAAAGGAATAAAACAGCTTAAGCTTTATCTAACGCAGAATAATTGTTTTAATGATTTGAACTCATTTTTATAAAAACGTTTATAACGTTTAAATAATAGTAAAATTGTTCAAAATTATTATTGTTACATTTATACTCGAAATTCTTCTTCCAATAAAATAAATTAGAAGATCTTAAAACCGCTTTCGTTTTGTAAACTGAATATTTAATGCCGGGCTAAAAGTCTTGCTTGTATAGATTTTCAATACTACGCTTTTCTCCAAACTTGATTAAAGTTTTGAAATGTTTGGTATCCATTTAATCTCTCACCTTGAAGGCCTCTCGGAACTTGTGACTCATGATGTTGTACAGCAGAGGGTTGATGCATGTGGACAGGTAGTAGAGGACGCCGGAGATGTAGGTCATTACCGTGTAGACGAAAACGTGCTGATCCCGCCGCTTGGCCCCCCGTGCAGGGGCGTAGATGGCAATCAGTCGCTGGGCGTGAAAGGGGGCCCAGCACAAGAAGAAGCACACCACCACGGCCACTGAAAGGGGCGAAATGGAATTGGAATTGGGGAAGACAAAGCGGGAGACGCAGATAAAGAGTCAACGATTATATTTTTGGGTAATCACAATTGTCATCATAAATGGGGAGAGCCAAAATGACAAACGCAATAAATTGGCATCAGACGGGTTGATTACCCCTGCTTAGGGCATATGGGCAAACAGTTGACATACACTCGGAAAATAATTAAATTTAAAATGGAATTAGTTGACATTAATTGTTTTTAAACATCTATAGCTGCCAAGTAATTTATAAAAAAAATCTAAAGCATAAGTAATGGCGAGCTCAAATTTTTTATTAAGTATTTTTAATTAAATATTGCATTACTACACTGTGACACTTTGGACTTAACCAAGCGGAATTAAAATATAATCCTTAGTTTTTGAAAAATGAAACATTTATCATTTTCTCATTGATTACTTTTAGCTTTGACTTGGAAATAAAATATTTAAGCTAGTTTGTGATTCTTTCTTTCTGTTCCATTTCTTTCAGTGTACTGTATCTATTTACATGGGGCTTGCTTAATTACCTAGCATCCTGAGCACTCGCCGGGTGCCATAGTGATTGAGACGACCTCTCACCGAGCTTAGTTGCACACCCGAGCCGCCCAGTGCGCCCGCACCTCCTCCTGCTCCCGCTGCTGCTCCATTGAGATTCACGGCGGAACTGGACCCTGCATATCGGTACAGGATCGTCTCGCTGGGCACGCTCTTCAGCTGCTGTCTCCTGGCAGCCGAGGCAGGCCCCTCCACCAAGGTTGATCGATACAAGTGCACACCGATCAGCAGATACAGCACCAGGATAATGGACATCGGGGCCAGGAAGAAGATGAACGTGGACAGCTGGAACGAGTGCTCCACTATAACGCGCACAATGCCGCACTGCTCGACTCCCAAACTAAGCTCGATTCCGAACTGGGCTGCCTGCGGAATGGCCGTGACCACGGCCGTAATCCAAATTAGCACAATAATCCGGATGGCACGACTGAGTTTGCTCATGGCCTGGCCCAAAAACGGATGGCAAATGGCTATGTAACGCTCCACCGTAAATGCCGTAATCGTGAGCACCGTGGCATTGGCCGATGTCTCGGCCAGCAGACCCCGCAGTACGCAAACGTACTCCCCGAAAATATAGGGGTACTTGGACCAGATGAAGGCCACTTCCTGCGGCACTCCCGACAGCAGCAGTAGGAAATCGGAAATGGCCAGCGAAAAAAGGTAGTAGTTCGTGGCCGTGTGCATTGAGCGGTTCTTTTTGATCACAATGCAAGTGCTGATATTGCCCACCACGCCAGTGACGAAGATGAGGGAGTAGACGACCGTTACGGGTATCACAATCGCCAGCGGATCGCGCGGCGGTCCAAGATCATGGCTCGCATTGCCAGCGGACATGGCGCCGGCTGCCTGGAATATTTCCCCTTTTGTTTTCACAAAATTTCCACTAGCAGCGCTAAATTCCACTGCCGTTTAACTGCGGCTGCGACTCAGTGTCCCCTCAACTATGCTAATTATAATAATTTATTGGCGACAGGGGCGGAGGGACAGGGTTGGGACTCGCGCTTCTGGATTCAAGATTCGAGATTCTCAATTCTCGATTCGCGATTCACGATTCTATATTCTATATGCCCGACTGGCACGCAAACGCACCAAATTACCGACGAGGTCGAGACCCGTAATCCGAACCTGGCCACTTCTGGGGGCTCGACTTTGTAACTTATCCAATTTGATTTTAAACTCCGATTCCGATTTCGATTCTGATTCCGATTCCCGAGAGCAGCTGCAACCGCACTCCAGCGCGCTCCGAACTTATCTGATAAGCCGCGGCGACAGTTCATTCAGATTTGTATCTGTATCTAAAAGCCAGCGACGAAGCGTCGCTGCTTTTCCCTCACATGAATGCGGAAGGTGAGCGACATGGCTGTAACGATCGAGAGTCCAGCGAACGTGTCCGGCCAATTAAATCTTTAAGAGCGGAGCTATCTTGATGGGAATAGTCTATGCTGGGAATGTCCACAGGGCCTTCGAATACTACGCAAAATCTGGGTAATTAAAGCGGATAATTATCACAAGCGCTTAACTATGTTTGTTTTGGCCCATTTATAAAGCACTTAGTTGCCTTTGCTACTTTAAGATGCACATAACATTAAATAAGCCTAGAAAATGTAAACAGCACACTAACGTTTAAAATGAAAGCGAAAACACGAGACAGTAAAAAGATTAGTTGAGAAACGGCAACCGTGCGTTTGAGTATTGTCAAGTTCTCGTTATTGCTTGTAGAAATATGTACTTTTTTCAATAATTCTTTGGAATTGAAAAAATAAATATTAATTTAATTAAAACAAAAAAACTGATAATTTCACGTTTTACCCTTTGAACAATTTTTAAAAAATGCTATTAAAAAAGTATTTCTGTGTAGCAGTTTTAAAAACATATGCAAATAGAAACATATAGTTTTTGTTTAGTGAAAAAATTAGTATAATGTAATAAGCTTGTAATGTCGCGCACCTTCAGTCATTTTTACGGATCCGTCGGGCCACAGTCGTGTGTGTATTTTGGCAACAATATATCATAGTGTCTATGGAGCAGCTACGTTAGCTCGGGACATTAGCCACTGTGCGCCAAGAACAACAACAACAACGGCAGCAGAGCCACTAACTTGGCCGAATGCGTTTCGCGAGTCTCAAGACCGTTCGGCTTTTTAAGTTTGCCCACGCTGCCGCCGACGGGTGACATTCTCTATGGCCACATAACATTTTCATTCATTTGTTTCGTTTCGTTTAGCACCGTCAAACGCTAAGAGTGCCCACCACACAGGGATGTCTCCAAACACCCCCCCACCCCCTCGAAAGTTATCGGCCATAACCCGGCACACGCCCCTTGACGGGTGTCAAAGTGCGTGCAATGGCTCTGGAATTTGGCACGAGTCGAATGGTTTTCCCCACTTAAAAAGCTTTTCGCGTGCAGCTCACGCTTCGCCAAGCTGTAAAGCTTTTCCGCCCACTGCACGTCGAGTGGGGAAAATGAGGTAAAAAGCGGGAAGAGAAAGCCCATCAATCAACGACGTCGGGTGATGCGGGTGAAGGATGAAAGCTCAAGGGCTGCACCGTCAAGGAAGTTCTGAATCACAAGGATGGGTAGGGAAGGTGACAATATTAAAGTATTAAAATATTATCAAAATATTACATTACAAATGTTCAAAATAATTGATACAATGTTAAGAATTTTTATAAGGAATACAAAAATGAAATAATTATAAATATTTCATGTCTGGAAAAGTTTAGGTCCCAAAGGAAACAATATACTTATTTTAAGTTTTAAATATTTTATTGGGTTTCTTCAAAAGAAGCAGATTATCATTAATATGTAGCACACTTTCTGAAAAAATCCTTTTCTTGGATTTTTTTTTATTTCGTTTATATAGCGATTATCTTATAACACATGCAACATTTATTAAATGTCTCAAAGTTGATTAAGTAAAGTAAAGTTCTTCAAAAGAATATATTCCAAAAGTTCCATTCTGTCTTATCGGGATAGTCTGGCTTCCCTTATACCTATATTCAATCATTTCATTTAAAACATTTCTCAAAACTGCTCTTATATCTATGGATTAAAATATGCCAGATAATAGTTAGTTATATTTGAACATCGACTTAATCCAACAGCCTCTTTTCGCAAACTCGTTCCTTAAATATTTTTGTATCAACCGTATACGCTTATTTTATAAAAGCTTTTATAAATTATACAAAAATTAATATTACACATATATATTGACTTGAACAACACCCAAATATTATTTGTAGAAGTATAGTATTGTGCAGTTCGCTAATCCCGATTTTAACAGGTATACGGAAATACAAGCTCTTCGGGTTGTTCATTATGGTCTTAGTTTTATAAATAAAGTCTAAGATAAAGTCTTCGCTTATTGGTATTGCTTGATCCTTTAAAATAAAAAAATCTGATAATGAAATCTGATATCTTAGTCAATATTTTTAAATCAATTGTAAATAGTTTTTGTTGTGCTTGTTAAATCATTAATCACTGAAATGCTTAGATGGGTTTGTTTGGGAGGTACACTTGTTTTTTGATATTTGGCTTCTGTTCTGGATGATCTTAAAATGGCAATCGGCAGGGGTTTAACAAAAAATCTAAATATCACCTCTAGAGTTTAGCCCACAGTTTACAGGGCGTATATTAATTTGCTTAAAGATAAATCAATGTACGTTATACGCAAATCTTCATTTCAATCTGTCACCAGAGGAGCGACGCCTAAACCACAATCTCGATAATCTCGGTCTCATCGTCATCGAATTCATCATCGTCCCGTCGTCCCCAATCGTTGAGGTTTAGGGGGCTGTTCCGGCTCCGTCAGTGGATGTACCTCTCCTGCTATAGAAGCACCTGCTTCATTTGCGGTCTCTCCGCCTCCAAAAGCCGCTGGGCCTGCTCGTGATCCATTCCGTCAATGGAGCAGGCAATTAGCTCCACTAGGTTGTGTCCATGCGTCAGGATATGATGGATCGATTGCAGCGTCAGCTTGGCACAGTTGCTCAAGTTGAGTATCCTCAGGCGCTTCAGATTACTCACAATAACCCGCACAGTCTCATCATCGACAGCCATGCAGCTGGAGACGCAAAGAGCTTCCAGAGATGGACAGTTCCGTGTCAAGGCCTCAAAACCCTCCGCTGAGAGTCGCGAGCAATAGCCCAAGGAAAGGGCACGCAGTTCGGGCAGCTTAAGACCTATCTTTAGGGAATGATCTGTAAGGTTGCGACAGCCGCGGAGGTTGAGCTCCTTCAAGCCGCGTAACCGACTAATGGGATAAGGAGTCTCGCCAAAGCCAACCAACCCTTGATCAGTAATCTTCACGCAATAATCGATGTTCAGGTTTCGCAGTCTCGTTTGGTATCTGCAAACATTTATGAATTTGTTGTTTACCCATTAAATAATTTAAATAAGTCGTAAAGTGAGAAACACATACCTGCAAATGGTGGCCATGGTGCGATCCGTCACCGCTTGGCGGCAATTATCCAAACTAAGGCGCCGAAGATTGGGCAGTCTTTCCAGGAGTTGGCACATCGAGTTCTCATCCAGAAATATGGTTTCCTCCAAATGCAGCTCCTGCAGGGCGTAGTTCGTGTTGCCGACCAGTCCCTGGACCAAGCCCATCCCCGTCAATTCTCTACAGTAGGCCATGGTCAGGGCCTCCAACTGACCACTCAGCTGGCGCAGTGCATCAATACAATTGGCGTTGAGCTGGACGCAGAACATAAGATCCAGCACCTTCAGAGTGCCTTGCCACTTGTCGGCTATATAGAGCAGCAGTTCGTTGGTGAGCGACAGCATACCGGTTAAATCCAACTGGCGAATTGGTGCTGATTGAGGCACGGCTCTTAAGACGGCCTCCAGAAGGACCAGATGGCAATTACCGGACAGCTTGAGAGTACGCAGGTTGTGCATGGTTTCGAATGCCTGGCACCACTCCCGAGTGTCGATGCCCGGCGAACAGCTGAAGAAGATGTCCACACACACCAAGGTGTCCGCATGATCGCGCAGGACATCGAGCAAAGCGTTCTCGTTGTTCCTTCGGAACTCGAATTGCAGGTTCCGCAGCTGCACCTTGTTCTCCGTTCGACGCAACTGCAGCAGCATGAGCAGCTTCAGCGAGGAGTCCAGACTCACGCCATCGCATTCGAATCCCACCAGGTGGGTGAACTGTTTCATATCCAGGCCATCCACCGACTTCAGGTGCTGGTCATCCATGGAACTGGTGGTCGCAATCGTCAGAACTTTCAGGTTTGGCAACTTGCCATCAATATTCCGGAATACAGGGGCATGGCGCACTTGCAGATGCTTCACCTCGTGACCCACCAGACGCAGGAACTTCTCCAACTGGCTGCACTGGCGCAAATTTCGCAGTTCGATCCGCTCGAAACTCAAGTAGCAGTTTCCTGCCTTCGCATGCTTGTGGATCGCCTCCAGATTGTGTTGCGTCACTATAACCTTTCCCTTCTCCATGAATCGGCGACGGTGGACCAGATCTCGGCATCGCCAGGACACCAGGCGCAATTGCTGCAGATCGTTGTAGGACAGGTAGGACATTATCTCCAGCCACATCTCGTTAGGCAGCTGTTCGATGGCCGCCTTCGGGTGGCCCACTTCTTTATTCGATTCCAACTTTTCGGGGGTTAGCGGCGGCGTGGGAGGTGCCGCTATGGAGCGGGCCAGAACCAGCAGCGGATTCACGTTCAACTCCATTCTATTGGCAGTCTGCAAAGAAACAATTTCCGCAATATCAGGATTTGAGATTCATTTACTTAGATTTAGTTGAGAGAAAATGGGAAGAGTTAATATCTAAAGCTCCACAAATATTTGATTTTGTTAACTTCATTATTTTTATTTTACCCTCTACCACATTTAAAGCCCTACTAATTTCTTTGCACTATTTTCTGTTGGAATTATATTTTTAAAACTTTTTTATGTTGCTTTATCTCAAGTTTCAACCAGTTTTGTGCAACCGTATCAAGCAGGTGAACGAAAGTGAATTTTGCCGAATTTAAATTTAATTGGAATTGTTAAATATTTAAATAAATATTATTTTTATAAAAAATAAAGTTGTCCATAGGTAAGCATCTCATGTACTTTTTTATGCAAAAAAACCGTTGAAGCCATATATTTTTCCCCCATAAACTAAAAAAAATTAACAATATGTAAATTAATCCGATCGAGTTCTATTTCATTTCTAGTTGCTTGAAAAATTTTTTACTTAAATATAGTTACCATGGAAAAGTTAGCAACAGCGATCCTCCCCTTTGAAGGTTCGATGCACCTGGCCACCTGTTCTAAGCCGGTAAAGTTTCGTTGCCAAGGCTAAACGCGGTTTTCCACCACCACCGCCATCACCTCTTTCTCTCCCCCGCCCTCCAAAATTTTCGAATATCACTCACCTGAGTGTAGCTGCAGCTCAGCCTCTCGAAAAGCCTCTTCTCGCGGCGCTGACTCGGTTTTCCACTCGTTATCAGACTGTTCCCCATGCAGCAACTCTATTGATTACTGACCTTTGATTAAGTCTTGTCTTTATTATGTATTGTTCGAGTATTTTTTAACTGCTGTTTCTCGAACCTTTCTTTACTCCTTTTAACTCAATTTGTGTGGTTTATTTGGAGGTGTTTCAATAATTTCTTTAGATTTACAGCTTTTGGCTGGCTATGGTTTTCATGTATTTTGGCTGGATTGTCACTTTGTTTATATTCTTACACTTTAAATTGTTTGTTGTAATATTTCTCTTCTGTTATCCCAATAAATATATATTCTTTGGCGCTGATTGGCACAATTTGTGCTATTATTTTGGCATTTTCATAAAATGTTTGCTGCGTATTGGCTTTGTTTTCGGTTTGTGTGCGGTTAAACGGTTGAATTTCCATTGGCTTTGGCTGCGTCCAAACACTTGCGTTAACTCTGAAATATTCAAATTGATGTTTTTAATTGTTTCCAGCGATTTTGGTCTCCAATTCGACAGCAACCTGCTGCCGCTGGTCGGGTTACAAAATCCAAATGCGTACGGAAAACAAACTTCTCACAGCTGTGTATCTGTATCTAATGACGAAAACCGCTCGTCCAGGGCCGCAGATACATATTCAGCTACAGATACTTCTGCGTAGATAATTTCACTTAACACGCATGCCCTCTCTTTCTCTCTCTCTCTTATTGTATTTCGCTCTCGCCAAGGGCCTTCTCCCTTGCTCTCTCGATTTGTTTATGTTTGCCGCCGCTTGTGACCTACATACGAAAAAAAACAACAACAAATACGGGGGCGGCCTTGATTTTAGAGAGAGAGAAAAATATTAGGAAAATTAGAGAGCCCCAGAGAGCGTTAAGTGGAAATTATGTTCCGGTAAGTGCTACATAAAACTCACCCCCGTTTTGGGCAGTGCAGGCAGCTACGATTATTACGGAATATAGACAAGGGGTATTCACTGTGCACAACAATTGGCCTTTTCAAGGTACAGTCGAATTTTCATATTTATGTCCAAGATTTCAAAATTGCACTTCAAAATAAATTATTTTGCGATGGGTTTTCTGATTTGGTTATACAAAAATTTTGGATACGAAGAAAGAAATTATGGTATCAACATATTATACACATTTTTGAAAAACGGATAAACCTAAGAGTCTAGATGACCTAGATAGCTAAAATGGAACGTGTGCCTTTCTCCACAAGAGTGTTAAAAAAAAGAGAGCGTTAAGTGGAAATTATGTTCCGGTAAGTGCTACATAAAACTCACCCCCGTTTTGGGCAGTGCAGGCAGCTACGATTATTACGGAATATAGACAAGGGGTATTCACTGTGCACAACAATTGGCCTTTTCAAGGTACAGTCGAATTTTCATATTTATGTCCAAGATTTCAAAATTGCACTTCAAAATAAATTATTTTGCGATGGGTTTTCTGATTTGGTTATACAAAAATTTTGGATACGAAGAAAGAAATTATGGTATCAACATATTATACACATTTTTGAAAAACGGATAAACCTAAGAGTCTAGATGACCTAGATAGCTAAAATGGAACGTGTGCCTTTCTCCACAAGAGTGTTAAAAAAAAGAGAGCGTTAAGTGGAAATTATGTTCCGGTAAGTGCTACATAAAACTCACCCCCGTTTTGGGCAGTGCAGGCAGCTACGATTATTACGGAATATAGACAAGGGGTATTCACTGTGCACAACAATTGGCCTTTTCAAGGTACAGTCGAATTTTCATATTTATGTCCAAGATTTCAAAATTGCACTTCAAAATAAATTATTTTGCGATGGGTTTTCTGATTTGGTTATACAAAAATTTTGGATACGAAGAAAGAAATTATGGTATCAACATATTATACACATTTTTGAAAAACGGATAAACCTAAGAGTCTAGATGACCTAGAAAGCTAAAATGGAACGTGTGCCTTTCTCCACAAGAGTGTTAAAAAAAAATAGGAAAATTTTTTCTGTAATTAAGTCAACACTTGCTTAATAATTATTCCTTTGCATCAATCAATCACAACCTATAATTTGGTCGTGTTGTTGAGAGGTATAAGCAATTATAATCGCTTGCATGATTATAGCAGTGCAATTTTTAAATCATTTTAAAATACAGTCAAGCTTACTAAATAGTTTTTTTTAAACTTATTTATTAGATAGAAACACAAAATCGATATTTTTAAAATAAGCATAAACCATTTATACTTTTCCATTAAATTTTGGGTGCTCCTGACTTAAAATTCCAGACATATGTATGTTTCATTACCGACATGTTCCGGGTTATACGACAATTGTATGCTTGGCGACAGTTTAAATTTTTTAACCCGATACAATTGTATATACCATTTTGTTTTATTTGTATTATTCAAAAAGTCTCGAGGTTGAACAATGGAACCATTTTTCAAATGTGCCATCAAAGATAATATATTTGATTTAAAAAAATTTCTTCGAAAGCGCAAAAAATTTTATTTTTAATCTGCAGACCTTTGTATGTTATAATTAAGGGATTAAAGAGTATTCAGAAGAATATTTAATTGCGTTTCGTACAGCATTGCACAATTTTGGCTTATTATACACAAACATTTGTTTTGCAAATTAAAAATATTTTTTGTTATTAATTTGAGAAATAAAGAAGGTAAAAATCCAATTTCTTAAAAAACTTTTACTATTCTTAAGGTAAATATCTTCTTTAGTATATATAGTATGGTGTACATACATGCCTGTTAGTAGATGTTCGCCTGTAACCAATCCAAGGCGATCATAAAACCAGCAATTAAGAATCCAAGCTGTCAGGATCCCAACAATTACAGTCGTAATTATCCAGTGTTTCTTTTTGCCATATATAAGAAGTCCAGCCGCACTAAATTCACAAAACGGAGTTGAGTAAGTTAACGTCACTATGAAGACCACGGAAATAAGGAAACCATACCGGATGGAGGACTTCTTGCAGCCTCAATGGTTTCAAAAGATTGCTCAGATGGTACACTTTCACTGGCAGAGGAATCCAGAAGATGACAGCATGGTGAACGCCCCCAATAGGGCTTTTTGGTGGTCGGCAGTCTGCAATATCTTGTTCTTTGGCTTCAACTTTTGGGGTATCCTTGTGCATTTGTGCTTGGGCAAACCTTCCAATCAGAATCCGCCCGTTTTTAGCATCACCGTCTACTTCTCCATCCGAGGACTGATGCTTTTTCTGAAACGAAAGGATATTGTTGAGTTTGTTAATGACTTGGACCGCGAGTGCCCACTAGATTTAGCCAGCCAGTTGGACATGCAGATGGATAAGGCATACCAGAGCTTTCGGAAGCGCTTTCGATTTATCAGGATCTACGCCCATGTTGGTGGTCCACTGTTCTGCCTGATGCCGGTGGCACTTTTCCTTCTGACTCACGAGGGAAAAGGATCACCCGTCGCCCAGCACGAACAAATTCTTGGAGGCTGGATGCCATTTGGTGTACGAAATGATCCAAATTTGTATTTTCTGGTCTGTTTTGTTGACGTGATGTGCACGACTTGCGGCGTCTCCTTCTTCGTCACCTTCGATAACCTGTTCAACGTGATGCATGCACACCTAATCATGCACCTTGTCCATCTTGCACGGCAGATTTCGGAGCTTGATCCCCGCCAGAGTTTGACCAACGAGGTGCAATTTTTTAAGGAACTCAGGTTATTAGTTCGGAGGCAGCAGCTTCTTAATGGCCTTTGCGGCAAGTACGTTTTGCTTTTTAATTGTAATTATATTTATTACCTCTTCCCTGTTTGAAATACAGATACAATGAAATTTTTAAGGTTGCTTTCCTCGTAAGCAACTTTTTGGGCGCCGGGTCCCTCTGCTTCTACCTCTTCGTGTTGTCGGAGACGTTGGATATATTGACCATGGTCCGATACATACTGCCCACTTGCGTCTTGGTGGGCTTCACGTTTGAGATCTGTCTACGCGGCACGCAGCTGGAGGAGGCGGTGAGCCAAAATGGTTAAGTCCCTAGCAGATCCATTTATATTTAATTAATTGTGTTTCTTAGTCGGAGGGACTGGAGTCGGCGCTAAAGTGCCAGGAATGGTACATGGGCAGCCGGCGGTACAGAAAGTTCTATCTGCTCTGGTTGCAATATTGCCAGCGCACTCAGAAACTGGGGGCATTTGGCCTTATTGAAGTGAACATGGTACACTTTACCGAAGTGAGCGAAGTGGAAATGAGATCGATCTATTTACTAGTACATTTTATTTATTTACAGATCATGCAGCTTGCCTATCGACTCTTGACTTTCCTAAAATCCCATTAGATGCACACTCGATAATATAAATATATATTCAACTTTTTAAAACAATGGATTTTAAATATAAAGCTTAAATGCCTTTTAGTTATTTAGGCAGCTTTTTTTTATTATTGTAACACTTTTTTGTTATAAATATAGTATTCACGTTAAATAAAGAATCATGTTTCACAGAAATTAAAAGTTAAAGGAGTTCGTTTTCTTAAATGAAAAACAATAACTGGTTAATAAGGCTCAGTGCCAAAAATATTTTTTCAAATTTGATCTTCTTGGTTATGACAGGTAAGGGAAATACCAAAAATCTTATCATGAGGAAAATTATTTGGGACAATTTTATAGATAAAATTATCAAAGTAAAGTAAATTATGAACTTATTTACGCTTAATCTTTATATAAGCGTTTAAAGTTCGAATGAAACCAAATCGATGGTTCAGAAGACCAAAGTCTGAAAATGAGTAAATTAAATTATTAATACAGAACAATGCAGAGATCCTAGAAATTAAATTTACCTTTTTAGTTACTGCAATGATTTCCTGCCAAGCATTGATTTAGATAATCTTTGGTGGCTCTTCGGTGAAAGCAAGTTCCTTGGTGACCAATAAGACTCGATTTTTTGTTGGATTTAAATGGACATGCCGTACACTTGTAGGGCTTTTCCTCCTGCTGGCAGGTGTCCATGTGCTTCTTGAGTTCAGTTTTGTTTGGTTTAGCGTTTAAGCAGAAAGTGCACCGAATTCTGCCTGCGAATCGGAAATTTTTGAAATGTTCCTGCAATCCCTTCGCGCAAAGACTGCACATTTGAAGTGGACCTGGATTCTGGACTGGATTGTCCCCCACAGTAGATGGTCGTAAATCCTGTTGAGATCCAGTCGAACGATGATTTTTTGGCAAATTAACCGCTATTTCCATTGCGCGCTTCAACTGATTGTTTGAGGAAATTAAGTCTTTGCTGACTGACTTTTCTTGGTGCTCTTTGGATGCAACTAGTTGGTTTTGTGGATTTTTCAGGATTGCAGTGAACTCCATTACACGTTTTATTGATTTGTTTTCTGAAACAAAATCAATCTGTATGGTTTTCTTAGTGATTAAAACCTTCTGATTTGGCGAATCACCCAGTCTTTTCGATGATTCTACTTCACTTTTTATAATAGCGTTTGGAGTGATTACATTTTTTTTGGGGGTTTTTGTGATTTCTCTTGGCGCATTAGCCAGACTATTTGGAGTTTGAAGTGGATGTGGAACCTGTGGGGAACGAGTTGAACAAAACTTTTTAGTCGGATTACCGGCGGTTTGCATCGGGCGCTTTAATAAATTGTTTGAGGAATTTAAATCTTGGCTGACAGATTTTCCCGGACGCTTTGTGGTTACAATTTTTTGATTTTGAGGATTTTCCATTGGACGTTGTAGCGGATCTTTCGTTTTTGGTTTACCATCCGGTAGTTTTAATGGCGTTTTTGGGTCATTCTGCTGATTTAGCGAAACACCCAGTTTTGAGGTCGATGCCACTCCGCTTTTAATTATATTGTTTGATGTGAATATATTTGTTTCCATATTTGTAAGTGCTACAGGCGCATAAATTTGACTGTTTGGAGTTTGAAGTGGATGTGGGTCCTGTGGGGAACGAGTTTTAAGAAGCTTTTTAGGCGGACTAACCGTGGTTTCCATTGGTTTTTTATACGGTTTGTTTGAGGACTTTAAATCTTGGCTGACCGATTTTTCCGGGCGCTCTGTGGTTACAGCCTGTAGGGTTTGAATTGATCGTTTTCGTGGATTGATTGGTGTCAATAAATTGTTCTGTTGTGGTTTATTTGCCGGTAGTTTCAAGGTTTCCACTGCACGATATACCAGTTGTTTTGGTTTATTTAAATCCAGCTGATTTAGCGAAACACCCATTGCAAGAGACGATTCCACTGGTTTTTTTATTATAGTGTTTATCGCTCCAAACTTTTTTTCCTTGGGTTGTGTAAGTTCTCTTGGGGTATTAAGTTTAATACTGTTTGGAGTATTTAGTTGTTTAATGGGGGGCACCTCCATGACTTTTGGCTTACAAGTCAAAATTACTTCCAAAGGACCTGAGGACCCGGAGTTGTAAATCAATTGATTGTCGCTGTAGTTTTAATACTCACCGATTTTAACCGTATTTTCGGGGGCTCCATTGGGTTTGGGGGCTTCTTCCTTAACCAACTTGCAGTGGCTCACACAGTTAACCACGATTCCGTAGTTTATTAAATCGATGATCTGCAGCAGTTGCGAGTTGCAGTGACATTTGTGCAGCACCAAAGTTCCACGATTAATTAAAGTTTTTATCTTCACAGTTTGTGGATTTAGTTCGCCCGTGCACTTGCGCGTGGTCATTATTCCGTAATTCGTCACGGAGTCCGTGCTCATCAACTGCAGATCATTTCCAAGATGTCCTTTGCAGTGGCACCTGCGATCGATTATTTTTCCATGGTTGGAGATTTTCTTGAACATGTTTGAACTTAATTAATTGCGCATCCTATATAATTCCTACCAATAGGCACGCTGTAAGTTTCGATTTCGATTACTGCCAGAGTTGCCACTCCGTGCGAACCAAGCAGAGGTGTTCGAAAATTCCAAGTCGCAATAGTGTTGTGTAATTTTAAAAATAACCAAAAAAAACTTGTATTTTAAAGAGATACGAAATAATTTAATTTATTCTATAAAATTGTTTTCTAAACAGCTGTCTCAGCCATTAACATTGTCAAAATAAAGTTTCTTCAATGGAAACAATTTTAATTTTATTCGGGGTCCACATTTTTCTTTTTTAGGTTTAAAAAGTATTCATTAGGGTATTTAATTGGTTTTCTTAAGGAATTTAAGTCCCATATTTTTCGTATTAAATACTAATATTTTTTCAATTTAGAAAGCTAAAATCCGTAGGTTATTTTTTATATATTACTTTCTGAGCTATCAACTTCAGTATGTTTGGATGGATTCGTCTGTATAGGAACTTTTGGCCAACTTTTATGTGGGGGCACCGTGATGGCATTTTTAAAATATATAGTTGGCTTCAGCACAGATCTTGGATGCTGCGGCTTGGGTAGCAACCATTTTGGTAACTTTGCTGGTTTGTAATAAGGTGATACTAACGATAACTGAGGATTTATAGTCTTGATCGGGGATTCCATCTTTTCGGCTTTGACAGGTAATACCGTGGGCCCTGTTATGGTTGTCTGCTGCTGTTTTGTTGACTCCGGTTTGGGCAGCAAAATAGATTTTTTAATATTATTTCTATTTTCCAGCGGCTTCGAAAAAGACTCGGACTTCTGAGGATTAAACATTATTTTTTATTATTGATGCTATTTATTAGATTTTATTTAATTTACCTGCCGTTTTGGTTGTTTAAGTAATGTGGCTTGGGATGAACACGGATCTGCGGTCCTCTTTCGTAAGCTTGCCGGAGTTTCATCTGGTAAGGGAGTGCTTGTAAACCGCGGAACGAAGTTTGCGTTGGATAATATCAAACCCTGTGAAGTTCTCGACAGCTTGGGGTTCGGTAAAAACGAATTTTCTTGATTAGAGGTGTCTTTTTGGGATCCGTCAAGGTTGCCTATATTAGCTATTTTCTTGCTCTTACGATTGAGTTCAGGATAAGAATCTTGGGCAGGACCGGTTTGGGTTAGCTCTACTCCCGAGGTCGGTGATCCCAGCAGTTTTGAGAGGGACATCCGAGCTGATCCTCCTAGATGTTCCGTGGTAAACCGGTTTAAGTTCCGTGGTCGCCCCAAATTACACATATCATGGTTCGTTCCATTAGATCCTCCTAACTGTACAGTGGTGACCAGGGGTGGGGTTGTTCTCCGGCCGGCAATCTCAAATGTTGAAGAATTTTCCGTTCCCATATACAAATTTGGGGACGGAATTGTTCGGCTACAGGTGCACATGCAGTTTATGATGGTCCCGAAATTATATAGTTGATTTACTATAAAAAGCTCTGAATCGCAGTTGCATTTGTGCCAAATAAGTGTGCCGTAGTTTTTGAGTATATTTAACCTCGATACTTTTGTTTGCGTATTTCCGGTGCACTTCCGGGAAACTAAAAATCCGTGGTTCTTCACCGAATGCGTATTACTCATATGAGTAAAGTTCTCTGTTCGGGGACCGCAATGGCACTTGCGGTTAAAAATCCATCCGTAATTATTTAACATCTAGCTGCAGAGTGTTGAAATGTATATATTAGCAAAATATGTACTTTTGGTTGTGACCGATTGCGAAGCAAGGTTGAATAAAAGTAACATGGCTGACGATGCGTCAATCGAGTAATCGATGATGCAGAGGAAGCTCCCTATTATTAACAACTTATAAATATTATCATTATTTTTATAAATAAACTGATATTAAACTTTGATTTATTTTGTATAAAATGAATTAAGTGTGCGTAGTTCCACTGGCGCATTAAACATTTGACTAATGCTACAACGACATATGAATGGTAGGAACAGCTGAAATGTGTTTGTTTAGTTTTAAATTGTCGCAAAGCCAATCGAAATAAATTAAAGATCATGAATGTGTACGAGTTTACTGGACACTTTAATGCTCATTAGGATAGACCAATGTTTCTAAACAAAATAAGTTCAGCACGCCCGCTTGTTTTCAGTCATTTTTAAGCAAAATAGATTTTTTATTCGTAAGAAATCAAAAATTTTGCCATATAGAATCTTGTTCTAAATAAAAACGTTATGGGTAAATGTGTAAATAAGCGCGCATTAGGCTTAATGCGTTTTAATGTGCCAATGGAATCAGGATATTACACCGCACTGGTGCAACTTCGAATGTTCGAGGAAGACTGGCAACTCTGTCCACAATCGAAATCGAAACTTTTAACCCGCTTATTCGGAGGAATTTCATCAGATGCGCTTCACCAACCACGGAAAAATAAACTATCGCAGGTGCCACTGCAAAGGGCATTGTGGAAATGATCTACAGATGATGAAAACGGACTCCGTGACAAATTACGTAATAATGATCACGCGCAGATGCAATGGCGAACTATGTAAATTCACAAACTCTTCATCGTGGAACTTTGGTGCTTTACAACTGCCCCTGCAACTCCGAAATCGGTAAGTATTTAAATATTCCAACTAAACCACTAAATTACCTTCCCTAAGAAACTCCCGACAAATGGACTTAAACATACGAATTTAATTATATCTATCAATCAACTAAAAAGCGCTTACACAACTGCTTTCATCCGAAGAGTGCCTGGGAAAATCGGTCAAACAAGATTTAAACAACGCAAAAGATTTACTAAAGCGCCCTGTGGAAACCCCGGCCTATTCTCCCAAAAAGTTATGTTGGATTCTTTCCCCACAGAATTCATTTACAGTGGTGGTCAATACAAATCCACAAGAAATGCACTTGGCGCAGGAGGAGAAGTCTTTTAAGTGGACGGCATCTCCCTACAAATCCACCAAATATTGCACGTTTGACAGGAAACCATTAGAGTAACTAAAAAATGTTCAATTACTTTTTACCAACCCTATTTCAATTAGGTTCTAGATTAATGTATTTCAATTAAGCTTAAAATGCTTAAAAAAAAATCAAAATTAGTTAATCAAGCAATTGCTTTATTGGAACACCATTATCTTGATACTTTTGAAATAATTTAATATTTATTTATGCTTAACTTTATTTCTCAATTTATGAAAAGTACACATTGTTATCTCTTTAGTTATTTTAAAAGTAAAAGCTTGTGGTTCAAAAATCAATTATATTTATATGTATTTCTTTAACATGTAGAGGAAAAACCTATATTTCTCTCAACGGATCCATTTTGGGACCTGTTGTGGGTTTCGATATTTGTTCCTCTGGGATTTTGTAAACATTTGTAATCCGGTAATGCTTTCAACGAAAGCTAATTGAACTTGTAAAAAAGTGAGGTTTGATATGGCGAACTAAAGATTGATAATAAAGATAATTACGATGTAAAAGAAAATTCCCAATAGAACAAGAAAGGAAGCAAACTTCGGCAAGCCGAAGTTTATATACCCTTGCAGCTATTAAAAAATTAAATATTCTTGAAAGCATATGATTAACTGTCTAAAAACATTGAAGCTATGATGATTTGCAGCATAATTATTCGATAGTTCCTATGACAGCTATGTGATATCCTTTTCCGATTTCAATAAAATTAAAAGCGTAATACTGAACTGTCAAATTATTAATAAGTCATTAATTTAGGTTTTGATGAAATTTAAACTGTCATTCTGAAATATTTAACCATAACTATATGTCGAAGAACAAAAAAAAAATTAAAAAACAGCAAAGTTATAATTTTTTAAAATTTATGTTTCCGATTGTTCCTATGGGAACTATATGCTATAGTCGTCCGATCCGGCTCGTTCCGACTTATATACTACCTGCAATAGAAAGACAACTTTTGGGAGAGTTTCATGCAGATAGCTTTAAAACTGAGAGACTAGTTTGCGTAGAAACGGAAGGACAGACGGACATGGCTAGATCGACTCTCCTTGTGATGCTGGTCAAGAATATATATATACTTTATAGGGTCGGAAATGTCTCCTTCACTGCGTTGCAAACTTCTGACTGAAATTATAATACCCTCTGCAAGGGTATAAAACCTGCTTAAATTGATTGGAATTGCGGCACTGTAAATCGATTTCCTTGCCACTCAAGGCTCAGTTGATTTTATAGGCGACTCCAAACAGCACCATAATGTCACCGAGACGAGCGCTTCAGCTTGGATTTATTTGGTTTTGCACCTTGAATGACATCACCACGTTCTACTTCTCCTCGGGGAGATTACGCCGGTCCCAATTTCTATCCAGCTATCGGATAATCCACAACTTTGTGGTAATCATATTGACGATAAAGTTTCTGATGAATTTTTGGCACTTCAGTGCTGATTCGTTTGAGAAATCACCGCTGGTGCGGCTGGCTGCCATCACATACTTCGGCCTCGTATTCCTGTCCCTGATCAGTTGCATGGGCTGTGCCTATCGGCGGCAGGATCGAATTCGTAATATGATTGAGAAACTTCAGAAACTGGAGGGTATATGTAACTCACGTGGCTACCAGGTGCCCAAGAGCAAGAAGCGATTTCTGAATATTCTCACGATTACACTGACATTCCTGCTGATCCTACGACTCGCCATCCATGCTGCCTTGAATGTCAGGCGATTTGTGAGAGGATATCACAATCCCTGCAACTGTTTCCTCTCCGAATGCATGATCTTTGCCGCGAACTCTTTGGTCTTTGGCCTCATCTTGGAGATCTGCCGCAATTGGTGGCGCTTGGAGTCGGGTCTGGAGATGGTGATCTTGGATCCGAAACCTTTTCCAGATCAGCTTTGTCGTCTGCGTAGGCTGCAAGCCCTGTTCCAAACACTGATTGATTTGACGGATGAGGTTTGCTTTGTCTTCAGGTTAGTATATTGGACTAATTGCTTTCCTTGTTTTAAATAAATGGCAATTATTATTGGCATTGTCCAAAATAAACTATTAGAAATCACCCTGAGTTTTACATTCCACTTTAGGTTTGTGTTTCTGTGCTACCTGATGCGGAATGTGTGGAGTGGCATACGGGTCGGATACATGATGGTTCGCGTGTTCCTTGGCCACAGTGCCATTGAATCGGAACTGGAGTACCTGCAGATGGTTTTCGTCACCTGTATACAGCCGATGCTCTTTTCACTGATGATGAATACCCTGACCCACACCGCGGATTCCCTTTTGGAGACCACAAAGGAGGCGATCAGGGGGCTTTACTGTCGGGATGTGCGGATGGAACGAAGTGTGAGTTATCCAATCAAAATTTCTGGTTCTAGTTCGGTCTTAAGGTCCTTATTTTTCGCAGATGGAATGGTTCTCTCTCCAACTGGCGGAGCAGCATACCCAAGTCCACATTTTCGGGACTTATCGCATGAATCGAAGCTTGGCCTTCGACGGCTGCTCGGTTATCCTGCTGCATGTCATATATATGGTACAAAGCGAATACAGTTCGATGTTTTAGTGGCAATTTAAAGTTGGATTTTATTATGTCCATTACCATTTTTTTTTTAAATGTTCCTTGCTTGGAATCCCATCTCACCCATTTATTAAATAAATTTTTAAACTCTCTTTTTGATTTATTGATACGTTTGAGGACATATTTAAGTGCGTGTGATAGTTATTTATAATACAGCAAGTAATTTGAGCAGACAATCGTTTCCAGTTCCTAAAATCCTAACCCTTAGTAACATCTATTCCTGAGCAGCTCCCCTCCGTCCGCTGTCCCCGATCCTACGGATGTTGATGCGGATGGGAATTCCTGGCCACCCGCAGCGAAGGTCGACGTGGTCCTCCGACCGAAATATTCCCATTCGAGGCTGTGGAAAGTCGGGGCAGACGAGGATTGACGGGCGGACCCATGACGCGGTCGACAGGATCCATCTGGTTATCGATTTGCGGCAGGGGTGAAGCCGGCGACCACTCTGAACTGGAACTGGAGCCGGGTGAGTCCGATCTAACAGCAGATATAGTGTATTTATTCTTAATTTCCATCACTAGCTCTTTGTCTATACATTTCTGAGCAATTCTTAAATTTTTCTTGAGATAAACTCCAAATTGTAGAGTTTTGCCGTTGAAAGTGAAGCATACAATTAAGGAAAAACTTACCCTGCTGTGTAGATGGGCGGTAGCTTCCTCTCGTAGTTGCTGGTGCTGGGTGTGACCACGCCCGCATGGATCTCCTGCTGGTAGAGACCATAGAGCTCCCGTAACTCGTCCGGCAGATCCACGTTGCCCTCTTCGATGAGCCGCCTCTGGGAGCTGATGATGTCCTCGCAGAGGCGCCGCTGCCGCTCCGCTCGCAGCAGCTGGAGGTCACGCCGGCGCAGTTCCGCCTGGCGGGCCAGTCGCTCCGCCTGCAGGGAGACCTTGTCCGCCTCCAACTCGTGGACGCGGCAGAGCAGGGCCAGCAGTTCGCGCTCCTCATCGCTGCTGATGCGCTCTGGCAGCTCCTGGCGGAAGAAACGAACAGCTTATTATATATGTAGTTACATATATGTATGGCTTAGACTCACATCCTCCAGCTTGACCCCCTTCTGACGACACTGCTCCAACTCGTGCTCCGTCCGCTCACGAATTTCCTTGGAGCGCCGTGTTTCCTTCTCGATTGCTGCCAACTCACCCCAGGCATTCTTCAGGGCCACCGATCCCTCTGATTCAATGTCTGCAAAGACCAGCAATAAACATGTAAACCAAAATATTAGTTAAACCTCAAAAAACCTTTTTATAGAAGTATAGCTGATTCGAATTACATGAAATCCTTTCTCTATGTGTATTTTTGAAGAAAGAATTTCAGAAAATTTAAGCCTCCGTTGTACACCATTTTAAAAATGTAAATAAATAAATAATACTTATACTCTAATACTTAGATTTGTAACGTGGAAGAATAACATTTCTCAAGGTAGCGTCCTTTTTGTAAAGGAACGTAGTCAGAATATACATTAACTATGAAAAATTAGAAATTAATCCAGATAAAAAGGTGACATGCAAAATATTTCCATAAATTTTGTATATTTGTCCAGCCAGACATTTTTGTGAACTTTTTTAAATGATTTATTAATTAAGCACAAGCCGGTAGATACGAAAGAAGTATTATATGTTAATTTGATGTCTAAAGTGCAAAAGGGTTCAGTCAGTCCTTGGTGGCCAACGGAGGGTTAAAAGTAGTTAATGAACGGTTTCTTAATTTTACCTCCGGAAAAAAATGGAATTTTGGTATGATATTTTAAAATGAATGAAATTAGTAGTTAGTACAAAGTTTAAAATCAATTAATGAGAAAACCGTGATCAGTATTAAAATAATAATTTTTGTTCTCAAAGGGGTCTGATGGGTAAACGACTAACCATCCTCGCCCATAGCGTCATACAGCTTTCCAATGCGTCCTTGCCAGTGGGAGATGATCATGTGCTGCCGCTCGGCATCCAGTTCCAGTCCCAAGAGATGACTCTCGGCCTCGAGGAGCTTCCGGCGCAGCTTCATCTGCTGCTTGAAGGTGAGGACGATCTGTTCGCGGAGGTATCGCAGTTCCGTCCTCCGCTGCTCGTCGTGTTCCTGGACAACCTCCGGTCCAGCTCCAGACCCAGTAGCAACTGCCGATCCAGAGGCTGCTGCGGCCGCCGCTGCTGCAGCTGCTCCACTTCGGGGCCTTTCGGTTAGCATCTTGGTGCGCAGACGCGAAACCTCGTCGCGCAACTCCGAGACGAGGCTTTGATAGTGTTTGGTGGGGAAGTCCTTGAACTCATCGATGTAGACGGAGTTCTGCAGCTTGGTGGTGATGCTGTTGGCCCGATCCGCGTACACCAGGGTGTTCTTGGTCTCGTCGCGGTGCTTACTTTCCGGGGCGACGTGGGCAATCATTACGGTCTTGCAGCGACCGCTCAGTGCCTCCTTGAGCAGCCTGGTTAGCTTGGAGTCCCGGTAGTTTACATATCTCGCCCCGCCGGACAGCCCGTTGATCACGTTACCCAATGCCAACAGGCTGCGATTTATGTGCGCCCCCTCCTGCAGTCGTTTCCCTCGATTCTTGGTCTTCTTGGCCCGCTCCGATCCAGCTAGATCGGTGAGGAAGAGCCGGCCCTGCTTGGTGCCCAGCGGCGTCCGGGCCTGGACCATGATGCTCAAGAGGGCGTGGCTGCGCGAGGAGGTCTGGTTGGCGGCCGTTGGCTCCATGGTCCTGGCTTTGTTGCCCTTGAGCAACAAACTCACTACCTCCTTTCTGCTTGAAGTGGTTATCTCCGAGAGACCCGCTACCGTGATGCGCTGGCCACGATGATCCTCGCGCAGCTCCAAGGGTCCGCCGGGATTGAGGAGATCGCGGATCAGCTCATTGTATATCTCCAGATAGGATATGGACACCCGGCAGGAGTCCGCCTCCGCCGACTCGATGTGACTGAAAATGTCCTCTATGGCACGCACCATTAGTCCAATGTCCTGGCTGCTCACGTCCGTGGAATCACAGGGGGCGGTGGCCGTGGCCCGGTCGCCGGTCTGCAGTTTCTTGCGCGGCACAGGCCCCAGCATGGTGTGCGTCTTGCCGGAACCCGTGGCTCCGTAGGCGAACACGGCCGCATTCAAGCCGTTCAGGACATCCCTAACCAGCGGAGCAGTGGTGGTCTTGTACACCTGCTCCTGGCTGTCGTGCTCCCGAAAAACATGATCGTACGAGTACTGCCGCGGTCGACTCTTGCCGCCGTCGTCGTACAGAAGGGATCCTCCGGACACGACCTCAATGCAACGTTCTGTGCCATCTAAACTGGGTCGTACCCGAACTGCAACCTGGAAGGTATTAGGGGTTTAAAATTTGTATTTTTTGGTTAAAATCCGTAAGATTTGAGTAATACATATCCAAAAGATTTTTGAGAAAGCCTATTTGAGAAGATAATTAAATATAGTACGAAATTGTCATTATTAATCAAAGCGGGGTTTTGGGGCCTTTTCTCCGGGAAAATGGGATACACCTAGGGTAGAGTGTTAAACTTTACTCTTTGATCGCATTTTCCCAAGAAACCCCTAAGCTCTTAAACCCCCCCTTGAGTTCTGGAAGATGATGAACAATGACTATTACGAGCATGCATGGTTTGGCCTTGATACTTGGGGAATCACTTTGACAAGTTCGAATGCAAGAGAGAAAGCAAATAATTGCCATGCAATAAGATTAATTTTATTATTGTTATTATTCAATGGTCAAATTAAATCGTATTTGTTGTCACTGGCACTTTTTATGTGTGTAATATGTTTAAAATATTTCAACTTATTAAACGACTTACTTGTTTTATGTTTATTCTTTTTATTTTAATCTGGTCAGAGTAAATGCTCACATTTTTGAAAAGCTTTAGAACTGTTTCTATATACTTAAATCTGTTTGACTCATTCACATAAGGTAGGGCTATTATATCTGGTATTTAGCCTAGTCATCCGCACCTCAAAATACCCCATATACTCACCACAAGGCGCTCCTCCTGTGCCGGCTGGGCGGTTGCAATGGATCGTCCTTGGGAGGAGTTGCTGCCCCCGCTGCTTCCCGACCAGCTGCTCGCTCCAGCAGTGGCCGACATGGCTCCGATCCTCCGGGATATATATATATATATATATGGCTGTGGGCGTGGGTGGGCCTAGGTCCTTGACTGGCCACGTGCCGCCTAACCTGGCTGATGACCTGACCTGGACAAGACCATTACAAATCGTGTCAATTTGTTGTCAACAATCGTAAAAATGCCATCAGCGCGGGAAACACCCAACGAACTCTTAATGGATTTGTGAATTTGCGCGCCAAGGTCTCGCCCCTACAAAAGGGGATTTCTGGGCAGGACGGAGTGGCCTTGGGGTTTGGGTCCCGTGGGTCTTGTTTACCTGTGGCTCCCAGCTCAAGGAGCTGGCGTGAGCCATAAATCAAGCCGTGAACTTGAACACCCAAAAGTCCCTGCGTGTCTTCGAATGCAAATCAAATGGAGCAGTTCGATGGTTATCGAGAGGGTACTGTACTTTTACTAGAAACTCCTGACAGGTCTACGAACCTTCGGATGGGTTTAAGACTTATGGTCCTCCTAACAGGGAACCGAAGGTTAGGCAACACTTTTATATAATCTATTAATATACTCATGATGATGACAAGTACTTATAAAAAAGGTGAAGTACTTTTCGATTCAAAATGTGTATAAGTTTAAAAATTTCAATTAACAACCAAATTTAAATATTGGCTTGAAAAAAAACGGAAAATAAAAAACAGTGTGCATTAAATTCTTTTCCACTCAAAACCAAATAAAATATTTTGACAACACTATAGACTAAGCAAACTGTTTAATATTTCAGAAAGGGTAATGGATAAATGAGAATGACACCTCAAATGGAATTGTCACGCATTAAAGCCAATTCATAATCCATGTTTTGTGACCTTTAACCCGATCAAAACCACGATGTCAGCCCGGCAACCAACTGTCGCTTCCCCCAACCCATAATTTATTTCATTTGCCTAAGAGCTATTCAATTATAAAACGTGGAAGCGTTGGGTGGCATGGGCGTACATTATTAAATTTAATTTCATGTTCCCATTCAGGTGCCATGAATTTATGATAAAACTACCCAGAACAAAGGCACCTAAGTCTCCGCCACACTTTCTCCTCAAATATTTACACAAATTACAGGCCTCGAATGTCAACAATGATGGGGGCTCGAATTGAGTGATAGGGTGGTGCTCGATACACTGAGAATATTTTTTAGTTAATATATTAAGGAAAGGCAACCAATTTTGAGATCTAAAATATTTTATGAAAACTTTCTTACAATATTTTATTTAATTATAAAATAAAAATGTGCTCTTCATAGTTCATTGGTATCCAAATAATTTCTCATTTCAATAGTTCCAATTATAATTAAAATATTAATAAAATAAAACAGATGATTTATATCGCAGAATTTTTTGAATATGGTACTTAAAAATGTAATTTTTTGCATATGTAAATAAAAAGAGTTTTAAGTGCTTACAACTATTCTAATAATTGTTGAATTAATCACTTGATCTTAATTCGGTATACGTTAGCAGAATTAAAATTAAATTTAAAAATGTCATGGATATTTCTTTTAAAAGTTATTTTTATGTTATATTATCCCTTTGTAAGGGGCGGACTTAAGGAGATTCCGCAGAAAATTTGGTAATGTCTAAAATCGATTGAAGCACTTCAATGAGCACCCACTCCAACACCACCCATTTAAGACCGATTCGATGCGAACCACCGCCCACAAGGAGACCTCAACACTTTTGCCAGTTCTTGTTTCACATTCTATTGCGGGCTTTTGTCGTTTATTGAATTTGTGTAAATTGCCAGCAGACACGACACGAAAGCCAGTGGACAGGACTTCTGTAAAACTCGATAAGGGGCCAGTCGGGTGGTGGTTTGGATGGGTTGTTGGGTGGTTAGCTGGGTAGCTGGCTAGGTGAGTAGCTGGCTGGGTGGTGCGGTGGCTCGCTGACTTTGTCTTCGGTTGTTGTCGCACGTCGACTGTTAATGTTTTTAACGCTTTGGTATGCCATGTTTTGATTTGCCGGCTAGTGAACCCCGTTTGGGAGCTGGGGGCGAAGCTTTTGTTTGGCCAACACTTAGTGGTCTGGTTGGAGCTCATTAGCGGAAATCAGGAGTGGGAATTGGGCCAATTGGTGGCGTAGAAAATGGAATGCCGCATATGGATTGGAACTTTGAAAGGATTTTCGGGGGGAAACCTTGTTTCAGATGGAAAGGGTGCTTGGTGAAGTCCTTTAACTCCAAGCATGGCTAAGTAATAACACGTATGACAGACTTTTTATCCTTAATGAGTTTGCTTTCCGATCAGGGACAGGCGGCAAGTGATAGAGAATGTTTTCCTTTTAACTCACTTATGCCAATGACCATTGACAAAGAGGCTTCCAAAATAAACAAAACCTATTGATTGGGATCTTACTAAAACAAAGACCTCTAAGCACTGACAAATCGTTTTATTCAAGTCTTAGGTTCTCTGCATCAACAACCAGCAAAAGAGGTCACAAAATAATAGCACTGTAAATAAAAGTGTGCTTTTACGTGTAAATTAACATTTAAATATAAAGAACACTTTAATAATTAATTCTACATAAGTAACAATGTTACTGAAGTACAAATTATTTCGTTATTGGAAAGTAGTTTATAGTTATAGACGGGGTGTTTTTAATTAAAAAACAAATTAAAATAAAAAATATCTTACCTCTTTAGTAACAAAGTTTTTAATGTGTTTAAGTAAATAAATTTATTCATTAATAGTACATTAATTTTTTATTTAGTATTGGTAAATTTCGCTATATTCTTGGTTTTATTAACTTATATTTTAAGATTTTATGGCCACGGTAATCTTGATTTACAAGACTTTTGAAATATGTAAATGGTTTTTTCATAGTTCTATGGTGTCAAAAGGAAATTCAAGTAATTCTCATTAAAATCCAGCCAAGCTAACAAAACCTTAGCACGGTAAACCTCAGAAACTGTAATTACCCACTTGGGACATTGCGTATACGCAGCGGTGGTGATTGATGGCCCAGGCGACCTGAAGACGGCTTAATTACCCCAAGCCATTTTCTTGGGCGCCGAGTTTATTTTTAGTGGCCCATTCAAGTTGAGTGACCAGCCCCCGATATGCATCCAAAGTGACGTCATTTTTGAGGCGGACTACGATGCAAGTGCAAAACCTTTAACCTTCACAGGGTATTGAAATTAACGCGTTTCGGGAAAACTGTGCGTGTCACGAAACACTGGGAATTTCGGCCCCAAGTGGGCTAACTTGTCCGCATTGACGACGCGAATTGTTTTCGCCATAAACAAAGTGGCCAGTGGCCTCAATCCTGACATGAAATAATGTAATATTTTACACATCACTTGGCCAGCAAGTAAATCCGGCTCCAAGTAGGTCAATTAAATGCGGTTCCCGCAGCGAGAAGCCAACCCCAATCTCGACTCCAATTCGATTATGTAAAACAAACAATTGATAAAAACTTTCCCAAGCACCGCTGCAGCGCGGCTCACTTACAAATAGTTTTGTTTTGCACTTTATCCGCTTGGAAAACTTTCCGGACACGCCACTAGCCGAAAAGAATTTTAAAGCCAAAAACCGGAAACGCTGGGGCGCCGACGGCTGCAAGAAATATTCGAAATAAAAGCGGTTTGTAGAACCATTCGCGTCGACGTATCAAACTCAACTGAAGGGTCCTACTCCGGACTCGACCTGGTCAGAAAATAACGAAATTATAGGCATGTCCAGGGGGTGGGATGGCCTGCAGATGGGTGGGGGTGGTGTAGTCGGCCAGTGGGGTTGACTCCTGGCACGGCACAATCAATTTTTGTTGTTGCCGCGTTTATACAACGGCATTGTTGAAATGCTAATGCGCCACATTTTGCATACATTTCTGGCGAGTTTCACCTGCCGCTGGCCAGTTGTGGGTTAAATAGTTGGCCCAAAGTTGCTGCCAAAGATTCCGTATCCAAGTTGTTGAGGTCCACTTTAATAATTGTCCACAAATAAAGGTATTTCCACAGTTGACGGCCCCAAAAAGTGGGCAACGATTTAGCACATTTTATGCAAATCATGCAGCACTCCACTTTTTTGGCATTTCCGCCACGTCAACTCCTTGAAGCCTGATAATAAATTCAGCAAACGAAAAAAATGAAGAAAACAATAATTTACCTGGAGCAGAGTTATAGAACTTTTCCGAACGACGAGACATTGAATTGAATTCGGTTTGTAGAGCAGCGTGTCGATTATGATGGATTGATTGACTGACTGCTCGACTGCCCTACAAGAGTGTTGGCATTTGTAAATATTCAAGCCATCCATCACATGCTCGGAAATTTGCATTCAAGATTTCCAATTTAAATTTGGCAGGCCACGAAGCCTTGCCCCAATTACGGATTTTTATTGGCATCCGTCTTGGCTCACGAGAAGGTCAATGCAAATTACACGGTCAAAGAACAAGGCCTTGTGGTTTAGAAATTGAAATTTTTATTAGCTATTATTTTTTACCATATAGAGCGTGTGTGTACTTGTATTGTGTAAATTTAATTTGATTCCGTTGCTGGCAATTCCATATTAACTAAACCTTCGCAAAATAAAGTTATCGATGCGGTTCGTAAAAGTGCAAACAAAAGTTCCAACTGGCCAATACTTAAGTATTAAATGCTAACTGAAATTTATATAGCCTACATTATTGCTGGGGGAGTAAGGTGTAGGTATGGGTAGTAGTATAGTTGAATAATAGCCGGAAATATCCAAGCGCAAGGCAAACACAAATCGCTTGACAAAACTGTGAGCAAATATTTAAAGTAATTGGGTTTGTGGCAGGGGCAGGACTGAATTCGTCTACGTCTGTGGATCAATTTCAGAATATCGCATAAGTTATTTACGGGTTTCCGCTTTCGCCTTTCCCCCTGTTGCTTTGTTGGCTTTCGACTAATAGAGTGTAAATAGGTTTAGTTGGGCAGCAAGCGTTATCCTCAGCCCGGGGATCCTGTGTGTGTGCTCTTTTATATTAGACTAAATGCAATTGGCTGATGCTAATGGAATTCTCGTCGCTTTCTCTGGCCTGCTGTGCTTGCGTAGGCGTGTAATTGTATAATTGTCCTTATCAATATGCTCAAAATGTTATCGTCATTGTCAACCGAGCCTGTTGCGACCCTCACTTGTCCTCAGAAGCCCTCGATATCTAAGCGAAAAATTGGGAGTTCTTGAGAAGTAGCAGAGGGCTGCAACAGGCCAGATAATGCAGATTATTGTAATGGTTGGCATGTTAAGAATATCGAGGCGAGGCTTAGACACAGGGCTCTACGTAATTTCCCGGAAACAGGCCGGTCACCCCATCCATGACGCCCTCCCACCAGCCGTCGTCGTTCTTCTTGAGCACGTACAGCACCGAGCTCTCCTGGAAGCTAAGCTCGTCGTCCTTGTCGGCATAGTAGTCGTATATGGCTACCACTGAAATATAATTATGGAAAATTAACAAGGCTTCTAATTCTAGTGGCGAACAGCTTGAAACCTACCCTTCTCGATGAAGTTCTTGGGTACCCAGCCGGGCAAGTTCTGATCCTCGGGCACTATGGGCGCCAGCTGCGGTCCCGTCGAGGTGCGTGGTCGTCCGAAGTCCTGGTGCTCATCCTCCGGCGGCGGCGGAGGTGGCAAAGGCGGCGACTGGGAGCCTGGACGTGCAAAGTTCAAGCTGAAATGGTTTCTTGGGGAAAAGAATTTGTTAATATAGTGGAATAGTTATGAACGTTACGGGTTTACACGCAGTTAAATGCATATTTTTGCTAAAAATGCGAGACAATCACAAGGTGTACTAATTAACAAATAATTTTGTATATTTCAACTGTGTGTAACCCTTTAAATAAGACAAAAACATGCAATTTACCGATTCGGATTCCTGGATTTGCATAGAGAACATGAAATCAGTTATAAATACACAACGTATGGGATGCGTTTGTGAGGCGCAGACTTACCTGTTGATGTTGCGTCCCAGCGTATGCATGCCAATGTGACTCTGCTCGGTCATTTCGTGCTGCGACACCGTCAGCGGCGAAGGGGGAGCAGCTAAGGATTGAAAACAGGATAATTAGCCAGGCATTTTTGTGGATTACTCCATTAAACTAACGTGGCATGCTGCTCCGATCGTCATACGTAGTAGGTGGCGGCGGCGGCAGCGATTGCATCATGCCCGCGGAGGGCAGGTTCACATGGGTGGCTATCTGCTGGCTGGGCGGCATCGGCAGTGCACTGTAGCCGGCAGCCCGCTCATTGCCTGCCGCCCCACCGCCAGTGGTGGTGGTGGTCATCGTGGAAGAAGCCGTCGACATGCGCTTCGGATGTCCAATCGGATAATTGGGTGCGTAGTGCGAGGGCACCTGCGGCGGATTGACCACCGGCGGAGTGCGATACTCCCGGGAGCTCTTGCCCAGCGTCCCAGTGTTACTGACCGACTTGCCCAGGGTGCCGGTGTTTCCAGCCCGCGACATCTGCGGCGGAGTCGGGGGCTTTGTGGTCGGCGGCGGACCCACTGACGGGGGCAACAGCGATTGCACGGACCCGTGGCTGGAGCCCCGGTGCTTCTGGCGCACCTGCGAGTGCGAGGCCGAGTTGATGCCGTGGCCAATCTCGTCCAGCATCGAGTAGTCGATGGGCTTGCGCACGTACTTGATGGGCTTCTCCGGATTGATGGGCGCCACGATCTTGAACTGGCGCGAGCTCACCTTGTTGGCAGTCAGCACACCAATCTCCCTGGGGGGTTGAAAAGCAGATTGCGTTGTAATTTTTTAAAGGAAATATGGAAAGTCGTTAAAGTAAAAAACTGTTGTTCAATTTTCAATTATTTAACTAATCGGTTGGTTTTCTTAAGAAATTATAAAACCTATTATGCAAACTGAAAAGTTATTATTTAGTACAAGCTAAAATTGCTGCCTCTAGTCGCTGGTATAAGTCAATCTACTTAATTTTAAAATGCAATAAATCTCAAGAATGAAAGAAAATAGTTTTTATCAGCTACATGACCCCATGAAACAATGAAATATACACACATTGGGCAGCTTTTATCAATGGTGACTCAGAGAATTGTTCTGCCATCTACTACATTATATACTTTTGTATTTCCGTACTGCACATCTCTTTGTAGATGAGCCCATAGTTATACTGCCAGAGTTATACTGCCTTACCTCCTGGCCACCTTCTCCTTGTGGATGTGCACCGTCTGGGCGATGTGGTTCATCTGGGACTCCATCTCGCCGAGCTGCTGGGCCTGGAGCTCGAGGAGCTGCATGTAGCTGTAGGCGAGCGTGTTGATTTGGTAGGCGACACTGGCCAGCGACTGGGTGGTGTAGTTCTTGGTGGCCTCCAGCGCCGCCTTCTTGTTGTCTGCGCGGTAGTAGGTGTCCTCGCAGTAGTCGGCCACCCGCTCCAGATTGGTGTAGCTGTCCCGCAGACTCTGGCGGCCATCGGGGATCTCGGTGCGTATCAGAGAGGCTAGTTCGTCCATGATGTTCTCGCTGGCCATGGGGGCTTCGGTCAACATGGGTGTTGATGCTGCAGGCGAATGGGAGAGGAGAACCCAATTAGTTTCCCTGCTCTTCCGCACTTTTCACGCCCGTAAACATTTGGGGCGTGGGCTGGTTCGCTGCCGACGTCGACGCCAACTGCTCCAGTTGCCCGTTGGAGCGGCTCACGCTTGATATCTTTCACTCACTCACTTTATTGACTATGCAATTGCACTAAAAATGCTTTTCCAGGCTGGTTGCTTCGCTTTAAATGCAGTTAAATGCAGTTTTTCTTTACATTTTCCGTCTGTTCGTTGCTGGATAGAGGTGGACAAATATCGATGCCAGCAATGATGTCGACGATTTTGCAATCGATTTTAACAACCGAAGTTACCGCACCTCTTACGATATTTATCGCACGATATTTCACGATTTCGTGCATAAATACTGTAAAGCAGTTTCAAGCAGTTCAATAATTGGTATATACAGTTTTTCAGTATTTTCTTGCTTGTGCGCTTCGGGCACACTGGTTGTGAGTAATAATTTTTTCAACATTAATAATTTTATCTGTTTGTCCAAATGTCTCACCAAACGGGTATTCGAGGTTTGTTATCATAAAGAACCCAGAAAAGTATTTCCTCACATTCGCCTGCCTTATTTCAGCCAACGAGCAGCTGGCCAAGGTGTTTGGTAAAGCGAAGAATGGTAAATTTCGCGTTGTAAAAGTTTCGATCGAGAATGGTGAGTGAATTTGCTCCAGAAACGTATATACACACGATATATACTAGGTACGAGATTTGATAACGAGGCTTCCGGTCTTACCCCGCCCATTTACAGAGCAGCTGAGTTGTAGCGCCACGGCGGAGACGAAAAAGGACTGGGAGCGCGACTACGACAAATTGATAGGACCTCTGCTGGAGAAGGATGTTCCCTGCTATATTCTGTACCGTCTGGACGCCAAGATTCCCCTCGGCTACAGTTGGCTGCTTATCAGCTGGACGCCGGACACGGCCAGCATCCGGCAGAAGATGGTATACGCCTCCACAAAGGCCACTTTGAAAACGGAGTTCGGATCCGCCTACATAACCGAGGAGCTGCATGCCACCACCTTGGATGAGGCCACATTGGAGGGATATCGCCGCCACAAACAGGACTTTGCTGCTCCCGCTCCCCTGACCAACAGGGAGGAGGAGCTGAAGGAACTGCGGAAGACAGAGGTCCACACAGAGATTAATACGAGTACCCGGCACCAAACTCTGGGCGGAATCAACTGCCCCTTGAGCGAACAGACTGTGGTCGCCATTCACGATCTGGTGCGCGGCCAACACGACTACCTGCAATTTCGCATTGATCTGGAGGAGGAGCAAATCCACGTCTCGCGAGCGGCCAAAGTGGAACTTGCCGATCTGCCGAAACAGGTGCCCGAGGACCATGCCCGCTACCACCTCTTCCTTTTCCGGCACACGCACGAGGGCGACTACCTCGAGTCGTACGTGTTCGTCTACTCCATGCCGGGCTATTCATGCTCCGTGCGCGAGCGCATGATGTACTCCAGCTGCAAGGCTCCCTTCCTCGAGGAGCTAGCGGCCCTCGGCGTGGAGGTCGTCAAGAAGGTGAGTTTATATAACTTAATGAGCAGGTGTGACTGCACTTATTACACTGAAGATAAGGGCTATAAAAATCCAAAATTATTACCAATAGGTCTTATATTTTTGTGTTTATTGGTATGATACCATCAAACACGCAGCATTTCTGATTCATAAGTCTAAGAACAGTTATCCTTATACCTATACTTTAAATCATAAACAATAGTTTATAAATGATTTCATTAAATTGATTTGTAATAATCTTTTTGTTTATTATTCCTCAGCTGGAAATCGACAGCGGTAGCGAGTTGACCGAAGCTTTCCTGCAAGACGAGCTGCACCCCAAGAAGATCCTTCACCGGCCGGCTTTTGCTAAGCCTAAGGGACCACCAAATCGCGGCGCCAAGCGACTCACGCGTCCCACCAACGAGGACTAAGTCTGAATCCCGATCCCATCGGAGTGAATTCTATCTATCCACCACAACCTTCTGTTCCTGGCAGAGCATTTAATTTATTGTATCCAAACGAGTTCCGTGTTCATTCGCATATCTTCTCTTTCGTGTTGTGTCTACCTGTCGTCCTGTTTTCAACCGATATTTGTAGGGGCACTAGGCATCAACTGAAACATCGCATAGCAGCAGCCAATGTGGGCTTCCTTAAATGTATTCTTGTCTATTGTTACTTTAGATGGACATATTTGCAATTTATTTAAATTAAAAAAACTCAACTAAGTTTACACATCGATGGCTACTTTAAACACTCGAGACTCACTTGACCGAGTCCAGGGATACCTGTTCGGGTACCTTTTCGTCATGGACCTTGAACAGCTCCGGTTGTTCATCCTCTGTCAGTTTTTTGAAGGCCTGCTGGATGTTATCATCGCGATCGAGCCGCCACTTGTACTGCCAATAGCGCACCTCCTCCATCGAAGTGCCGGATGCCTTCATCAGTAGCAGGGAGGTGACTCCAGCCACTCCGCCCAAGAAGCCGCCAATGATCCCGCCTGCCGCCATGCCTCGCAGTCCCAGATTCATTTTGTAAAGGGAGCCGGTGACGGAACCTGCGGCCAAGTACTCGTAGATCGACGATTTTCCACGATACACAGATATGCAGGTGATGATGCCGCTGTGTATAAGCACAAATAGGAAGTGTAAGCGATTGCTTTTTTGACTTGGTAAGGGCAAACTTACAAGTAGGAAGTTGTAAAAAGTCCCACTCGCCAGCCCCATTTGAAGCCGCCCTTGGCAAAGTTGACCGTAAATTGGTCCTGTAGCTTTTTCTGCAACAAGGAATTGAAGATTAGTAAGGCTTATAATAAATGGATGGATTAACTGCCCACCTTGGCATCAAAGTGCGATTTGAAAGCTGTGGCCTGGTTGTTCTCCATGAAATTCATGTAGCCCACGCGCGATTGTGTAACTCCGCCGTAAATCGCTCCAATGAGGAATCCCAGGAAACCGGCCTGGTAAATTGAATTCAGCTCGGAAGATATACTACCAAACTCGCTAAGTAAATAAATAAGTTCAACGTAAACTTCGCTTTTATTTAATTTTAGAGATTACTAACTCAATTGAAAACATTTGTTTGAGGCGCTCCAGTCCCGTTTCCTCTGGCGGTTTACTGGCCAGGAATGCCTTATAAGTCTTGTTTTCCTTATCCACTATGTCGTCTGGGCCGCGTTCAAAAGCTGGCAGGATGCCGGCGATCAAAAACCGGCGTCCTTTCAACAAAAAACTCATTTTATGAGCGCGTTGAATAACGAGGTTAAATGAAAACAACAAAATCAGCTGTTCACCGGTTGTGCTAGTGTCGGAAAGTGTTTTTTTTCTAGTGCTGCATAGTTCAGTTTTAGCCGATTCCAATTGGAATTTGTTTTGTTATAAATTGTATAGTTCAAATATTTTGATTAAATTAGTGGCTCTCAAGATATATATTTATTTAAACAAATAAATAGTTACTGACTTATTTGTTTAATCTTAAATTTGAAATTTTTCCCGAAACATTTGTGATTTAAACATTTATTTTCACTGTAATAATGTGCAAAACACCTTATGATTTGACTTACACGTTTTCCAGCACTGCACAACAACAACGCCGCCAAACGCGTTGTCGGCAAAACATTTGTTGTGAAATTTTCCAAGTTTTACCAGTAAATTCGTTGCTAAACAAAATAAATTGTATTTAATTTAGACGCACAAAGTGCTCTTGCACTTTAGAAAACCGATACCATGATGTACGACAACGAGGAAGGTGGGTTAAAAGATTGTGCAAAAAGGTCACTTGCACGTTGGCATGAAGAAAAACGAAAATGGCGGCTGGAGCGCTAGGACTCCGATTAACTTGGTTCTTGTGGATTCTTATTGCTTAATAACTTCTTGCAGAGCTGTACGAGGAGGAGAATGCCGAGGAGATCTCCCACGAGCTGTGGCAGGAGGCCTGCTGGATCGTGATCAACGCCTACTTCGACGAAAAGGGCTTGGTGCGGCAGCAATTGGACAGTTTCGATGAGTTCATCCAGATGTCGGTGCAACGGATCGTGGAGGACTCCCCGGCCATTGAGTTGCAGGCGGAGGCACAGCACACGTCCGGAGAGGTAGAAACACCGCCGAGATTCTCCCTGAAATTCGAGCAAATCTACCTTTCCAAGCCAACGCACTGGGAGAAGGACGGTTCACCCAGTCCTATGATGCCGAACGAGGCCCGTCTGCGAAATCTTACCTACTCCGCTCCCCTCTACGTGGACATCACGAAGACCAAGAATGTCGAGGGCATGGACCCCGTGGAAACGCAGCACCAGAAGACCTTTATCGGCAAGATTCCCATCATGCTGCGATCCACCTATTGCCTGCTCTCCCAGCTCACGGATCGTGATCTTACGGAGCTGAACGAGTGTCCGCTGGATCCCGGCGGCTACTTCATCATCAACGGTTCGGAAAAGGTGCTTATTGCCCAGGAGAAGATGGCCACCAACACAGTGTACGTTTTCAGCATGAAGGACGGAAAATATGCCTTCAAGACTGAGATCCGCTCGTGCTTGGAGCACAGTTCTCGACCCACATCAACACTGTGGGTGAACATGATGGCCAGGGGATCGCAGAACATCAAAAAGTCCGCCATTGGACAGAGGATCATTGCTATTCTACCGTACATCAAGCAGGAAATACCCATCATGATTGTGTTTCGAGCATTGGGCTTTGTGGCCGATCGCGACATCCTGGAGCACATCATCTACGACTTCGATGATCCCGAAATGATGGAGATGGTGAAGCCGTCCCTGGATGAGGCCTTTGTGGTGCAAGAGCAGAATGTTGCCTTGAATTTCATTGGAGCAAGAGGTGCCCGTCCTGGAGTCACAAAAGACAAGCGTATCAAGTACGCCAAGGAAATCCTGCAAAAGGAAATGCTGCCCCATGTGGGAGTGTCCGATTTCTGCGAGACCAAGAAGGCATATTTCCTGGGCTACATGGTGCACCGCCTGCTGCTGGCCTCCCTGGGCAGGAGAGAACTCGATGACCGCGATCACTATGGAAACAAGCGACTGGATCTCGCTGGACCCCTGCTGGCCTTCCTTTTCCGCGGATTGTTCAAGAACCTCATGAAGGAGGTGCGCATGTACACACAGAAGTTCATCGATCGCGGAAAGGACTTCAACCTGGAGCTGGCCATCAAGACGAACATTATTACGGATGGTCTGAGGTATTCCCTGGCCACTGGCAACTGGGGCGACCAGAAGAAGGCCCATCAGGCGAGAGCCGGTGTCTCCCAGGTGTTGAATCGTTTGACCTTCGCGTCTACTCTCTCCCATTTGCGGCGTGTTAACTCGCCCATCGGAAGGGATGGTAAGTTGGCCAAACCGCGTCAGCTGCACAATACCCTGTGGGGCATGCTGTGTCCCGCTGAAACTCCCGAGGGAGCTGCTGTCGGTCTGGTGAAGAACCTTGCCCTCATGGCCTACATATCTGTCGGATCACAACCATCGCCTATTCTGGAGTTCTTGGAGGAGTGGTCCATGGAGAATCTGGAGGAGATTGCACCCTCTGCCATCGCTGATGCCACCAAGATCTTCGTCAATGGCTGCTGGGTGGGCATCCATCGAGATCCTGAGCAACTGATGGCCACGCTGCGCAAACTGCGCCGCCAGATGGACATCATCGTGTCGGAGGTGTCCATGATCCGAGACATTAGAGATCGTGAGATCCGAATCTATACAGATGCTGGTCGCATTTGTAGGCCACTCCTCATTGTGGAGAACGGATCGCTGCTGCTGAAGAAAACCCATGTGGAGATGTTAAAGGAGCGTGACTACAATAACTACAGCTGGCAGGTCCTGGTGGCCTCAGGTGTGGTGGAGTACATTGATACTTTGGAGGAGGAAACGGTCATGATCGCCATGTCTCCGTACGATCTAAAGCAGGACAAGGATTATGCTTATTGTACCACGTATACGCATTGCGAAATTCATCCGGCCATGATCCTGGGCGTTTGCGCCTCCATTATTCCCTTCCCCGATCACAATCAGAGTCCGCGTAACACCTATCAAAGCGCTATGGGTAAGTTTATCGTAGTACAATTTATAATAAACACAGTTTTTAATTTAATTTACCTCATACCAAAGGTAAACAAGCTATGGGTGTCTACATCACCAACTTCCATGTGCGTATGGACACGCTGGCTCACGTTTTGTACTATCCAATGAAGCCCCTGGTTACCACTCGTTCCATGGAGTACCTGCGTTTCCGAGAGCTACCAGCTGGCATCAATTCAATCGTGGCCATTCTCTGCTACACCGGCTACAACCAGGAAGATTCTGTCATTCTGAATGCCTCTGCTGTGGAGCGTGGGTTCTTCCGCTCAGTGTTCTACCGTTCATACAAAGATTCGGAGAACAAGCGTGTGGGCGACCAGGAGGAGAACTTCGAGAAGCCCCATCGCGGCACATGCCAAGGAATGAGGAATGCTCACTACGATAAGCTGGACGATGATGGCATTATTGCCCCAGGAATCCGTGTATCCGGTGATGATGTGGTTATTGGCAAGACCATTACGCTTCCTGAAAACGACGACGAATTGGACAGCAACACGAAGCGCTTTTCCAAGCGAGATGCCTCCACTTTCTTGCGAAACTCTGAGACGGGTATTGTGGACCAGGTGATGCTGACGCTCAACAGCGAGGGCTACAAGTTCTGCAAGATTCGAGTGCGCTCCGTGCGTATTCCGCAGATCGGCGATAAGTTCGCTTCTCGTCACGGACAAAAGGGAACATGCGGTATCCAGTATCGTCAAGAGGATATGGCCTTCACGTGCGAGGGCTTGGCCCCGGATATCATCATTAATCCCCATGCTATCCCTTCTCGTATGACAATTGGTCACTTGATCGAGTGCCTCCAGGGCAAATTGGGATCCAACAAGGGCGAGATCGGCGATGCCACACCCTTTAACGATGCCGTCAACGTGCAGAAGATCTCAACCTTCCTGCAGGAGTACGGTTATCATTTGCGAGGCAATGAGGTCATGTACAATGGACACACTGGCCGCAAGATCAATGCTCAGGTAAAATTTGTTAATTCTTATCTGTTAAACCTTACTCATCAATCTGTTTTGTAGGTCTTCTTGGGACCCACCTACTATCAGCGTCTCAAGCACATGGTGGACGACAAGATCCATTCGCGTGCCCGTGGTCCTGTTCAGATCCTGGTGCGTCAGCCCATGGAGGGTCGTGCGCGAGATGGTGGCTTGCGTTTTGGTGAGATGGAGCGTGATTGTCAGATCTCCCACGGCGCTGCCCAATTCTTGAGAGAGCGTCTTTTCGAGGTCTCTGATCCGTACCGCGTGCATATCTGCAACTTCTGTGGCATTATCGCAATCGCCAATCTGCGCAATAACACGTTCGAGTGCAAGGGCTGCAAGAACAAGACGCAGATCTCCCAGGTGCGACTCCCGTATGCGGCCAAGCTGCTCTTCCAAGAGCTGATGTCCATGAACATTGCGCCCCGCCTGATGGTCAACTAAAACGTAGTGGTTCGCTGACCAGACCACTTAATCGCCCTAAGCTAAATGTTAGCAGTTAATTATTAAATTACCATAATTGTGACAACTCAATTAGGCACTTTGTCTCGCCTTTTCTATTATTCCCGAAACTGGAGCGAATGCCCGTCATGCATTTTTAAATAACGAACGTGCCGCAAGCATTTTTCGGCGAAAGTCTGCGCGGGCTCAAGAGCTCCTAGTGGAATCTGATTTATTTGCTCATTTAAAATTAGTTATTTTGCTCACATCTGCTTATTGTAAGGGTATACGGATTTGGTTACACCGTTGCGGCAAAAAGAACTTAAAACATTAAAAAATTAATTTACACATTTTTAATGTGATTAATAGAAAAACATTTAAAAAGTTGTTCAACAAAGTTAAAACTTGTTAGCAATTAATAGCATAACATGTTGTAACTATAACTAAAATATATTTTTAGTTAGACTGGAGCATATTATATTACTTACTGTTGAATTTATAAGTTCCATGATATGTTGCTAAAAGTTTAGGTATCCTAAAAATGTCAAATATTCTATAGGACATTTGTGGGCATAAAATTGATTCTTTTTTTATTTGCTCCAATTGCCTTCGGAAATCCCCAAACAAATACCATTGTGCCATAAAATATTTCAAGCCTTAAGCGTATTCTAAATTCGACTATCAATAGAAAGTATTTCCATTTCCATTTATTTGTTTGTTTTGCTTTGTGGCTTTCTTTGATTTTGACGTAATGCTTGGGCCCGCGGTCTGTGACGCCCAGTGACAAAAGGGATTAGTTCTTTGTTGTCGGATGTGGGGATTGGGAGGTGGAATGGTGGAACGGTGGTGGTTGAGCTGGAGCCACAGCCGCCAATCGACTGACAGTTATTAATTGCCACTTGACGTGGCTCCGACGGCACAAGAAGCGGCCCCTCTGAGTTCGTGTCGCTGCCAATGCTGATACCAATGTTGAGGCTGTTGGCCAAGACGATGCTGACACCCATCAGTCAGCGAGCCTGAACCCGGCTTATGAGTAATTGAAATTGCGTGTAAATCCGTGAACGCAAAGTGGCGCCGCGATAAGAGTTCAGAGCGAAACAAAACAACAAACACTGCACTTCGGCACTCCTGAGGTATGTATTTATAGCGACTTAAAAATAACTTATATTACTCCTTTTTATCGTTCAGCCGTCTTCCCTCATTTATCTCCGTTGCTGAAAACACTGATGGCGTAGAACTCGGGTACCCGGTAAACCTTCAGTCGTTCGTGGCTGAATCGTCCGTTGGTGAGGGCCTTCACATAAAATATGTCCTTCATATCGAGTTTCTTCCGCTGGGAGGGTTTCGTTTCCTCCAGGACAAGGTGCTGCTGCTTGGGACGATAGCCACTGGACTTATCCTGCAGCAGCTTCACGAAAATGATGTCCTGGTCGTCATTTCGACCCGCCAGAGTTCGAGCCTGGTAGAGATTCTCTCGTGGCTGCGGATAAATCAGCACAGGTTGAATGGGCAACACCTGGCTGGGCGATGTGGGATAGGCCTCCAGGTCATCCGGGTCCGGATCGCTAAAGTGGAAGGCAGGTGCTGCCCATGATTTGATGGGAAGGTAAGCTGCCACCAGGAGTAACAGGCCAATTGTGTGGTTTATCTAGAGTACAAAAAAATATATTAACTTACAACATCTGAAAATCAGTCTTAACAAATTCCTCGCACTTTTAAAGATATTTTTTTAAGGTCTTTTTTGTAAAAAAAAAGTATAATCTAAAATTTAAGCCAGTTTAATAAGGCGCTTTGCTTGTATAACAAACATGTTCTCGGCAATAAAATACGATTTATGTTGGTCTGAATTTCCTTGGCAAGGATTTATGGCTTTAATTTAGAGCATTTTAAGGAAAAGTAATTTATAAATCAAATAAATCATAAACCCGCAAACTGTTGGCAAGGCGATATAAAATTAACATTCAATGTCTTTTTGATATAAATTAAAAAGCCAACCGAGTACGGTTTATAAATATGAATTGTAATATTTAAGCTATTACCTATGCCGCATATTACACAGTACCAACATACAAATCATTCTATCTCTAACGACTCATTTATCACATTGATTTATTAATTGACCAGCCTGATCAAATATAAGATAAATGGGAAAATTATGAAGCTATAATAAAATCCTGTTCAACATAGATCTTAACACATGTATTTTTCGCATCGCTTGTAAATGATTTATAACCTTCTTAGAATCATTTTATCACGGCTATTTGCATATCTAATTGATCTACAAAACTCGGCAAATTAATTGAGCTTTGTGACCAACCAGAATTGGTTCCAGTCAAAACATACTTTGATATTTGGCCATAAGCTGGCAGAGTGACTTAGTTCTTGACTTTGAATTACCGTTTTCATTGCGTTTCGTAATGCCCCGCTCAAGTTCGCCCGACTAAAATCGAATTTATATTTATTTTTGAACCTAAGCGGCTTTGATTCGCTTTTCGGCACTCTTGCCCTTTTTGGCCAATAAAAACGTAATATCACAGACGATAAAAGCGGCGATCGAGCGCGACTCGCGAATGTCAGAAGCAGACTGGCGTGCGACAAGGCCAAGTTAACTTCATTTACCGCCCGACGAAGCCACCGGCAGAAGCTGAAACTGAAGCTCAACTAACAAAAAAATAAAAAAACCGAAATTACAAAAACAAAAAAAAAGGCCCGAGCTGGATGAAGAAAAAGCAGCAACATCAGCAGCAACAGCAGCAGCAGCGCAGCTTCGAAGCTGTCAACAAATTGCAAACAAAGCCAGGTGGCTGCGTTAACACCCATTAACTGCGGGAGGAACATCTAGTAAATCAACATAAATAGTTTTTAAATTATATTCATGTACAAGTTATAGCCCATTATGCCCAAGGAAATTAATAGATATTTTAAGGTGGTAAATAAAAACATAAATAGTGTAGGACAATTTAGTTTTAATATTTTAATTTATTTTTAAGTGCAGTATCAATAAAAAATAAATAGGAAAATGCAAATGACTGAAAATATCTTATACTTGATATTTTGAAAAATTTAAAACCATTTATTAAAATATTTAATTACAAACATCTATTCTTTTACTGCAATTATATTCCATTACAAGATTGAGTAACTTCCTACCCATTGATCGCTAATGGGTTAACATACAAAGATGGACTAGGGGGCGATTTATTCAATGTTTGTGCTATTAATTGATCACTAGGTCGGAGTGTCGATAGGGTCAATGTTATCAACCTGCGAGCGCAGATCAATCAACTGTGTTTGATGAGCTCAAAACTAATTTCCAGTTGCTTACATTTCGTTTTATCTGCGCGTAAATTTATGCTCATGCCCCCAGTGATGTCAAAATTTATTATTATAGCCTCTGAATGGGAAGCCAGGTAAATGGAAAAAATCACATAAACGGTAGAAATAAATTTAAGCAAGTAGAAATGCTTAATTAGCGAATAAATATTTGCGCAGCCTTGGGTTAGTAAAGAGTTTTGCACACTTGCTCGATGGTTTTATGAGTGTTTATCTGCTGCCTTTTGTCTGTTTGCAGTTGAGGTTAACAATAATAATAGAAATTTCTTGTTAAATACACCTTGCCGAGGGTTCTTCAGTTTGATTGCTGGCAAATCAATCATACGCACCGTGGCCCCAGAGCTGAAAATCAATTACAGCGTGATGCAGAAATAGAGTTAAATAAATAAGCATCGGTAATTGAAGCAACATAACGAGTAGAGGGTTGATACAAGGCCAAAAGCGAAATTTAACCGCTTTAAATGTGAAATTATGGCCAAAAACGTAACGGAAGCAAAACAAATAAACATCCAAGTGAAGCGCAAATAATTACAAGCTCTATGTTGTTTGGCAAATCAAAACAGTTGTCGCCCGATTTCGCTGGAACTCGATTGAGATTCGTGACTGATTAATTGCAGCGCATCTCGAGCCCCCTTTTCCGCACTTTGCATATTCGATTTGGGCTTTCATTTCGAACTTGTTTTCGCTTTCGTCTCGATTCTTTTCGGCCAAGAAGCGTCCGCTTTTAATGAGCTCATTCGCATGCTCATCTGGAATCGTGTGAAAGGTGAATACCTATGTTGGCCAGCTCTGTCCATCGAATGTTTTTTTTTGTACCCACACGGCTACCGTTTGCGCAAACTTCTGTAAAAAAAAAGGGAAAGCTTTTCGATTTCGAAGGTGTCGGCATCGATGTTTGTGGCGCCAGCATTAGCCGCAAATTGTGGTTTATGCGTCTGGCCGGAAACCATAAACGTTGCGGGAGTAAAAGGTATTTCATATCAACTTAATGTAGCAAAGGTTAATCTGTAACTAAATACAATAAAAACCATTTTTGACATGCATGTAATAGAACAGAGTGCATACAAATGGGAATAAGCAAATTAAAGGGCCATTGTGGGTATTTTCCAAAGCATTTAATTTCATTACAATTCTAAAAAGTTGATTGAATAAATTGAATTCAGTGTGGCTGATTCTCGTCAGTTTAATTCGATTTTGTTCTGTGATAGTTTTTTGTGGTTATGTTATTTATTTTTTTATTTACGCTTAATTTGGATGTTTTTGTTACATATTATATAACATAAAACTGCGAAGAGGGAAATAAAAAAGCTTATGGAATTATTGAATATATTTTTTTTTTGTATATTCCGCATCTGCTCTCACATTTGTTATTTTTGGCCACTTTATTATGCAAGGTATTGTTGCTAGCAGTGGAATTTTATTTGGCTATTATATCACACTGCTGATACAAATAAAATGCAACAATTGAAGTCCCAAATAAAATGGAGCGAAGCCTAATGTCTTTAATATTCATGATAAAAGTTTGTTTGGCTTAGTAAATATAGATTTTTAGGATTTTGCGCCGCATTTAAATATTTTATTAAAACTAACAACGAATTTTGTTCATAATTCCTTAGCAATATTATTATGTGGTTTGTCCTTAAAAGACTGTGTAATGAATATGTTAATTGATTGAACATTATTTATTGCCATCCATTAAACGCATTGAACAATAAATATCCAGCTGGAAATAAATAATCCATACGTTTTTTCACATATAGAGTCTGGTTTTTTCTTTGTGAATAATTTTGATTTGCGTTAAAGAGCACCATTTTAATCCCAATGGCCAGATTTAAGCGGATATTCAACATTCAACACCTTCTGCTGTGGGGTTGCTCGCTTTTTCGCACAATTTCCCGGGCCATTCGGGCCTCATTAGCATTGTTAATTGATAACAGTTAAGGGTTGGCAGAACGACACAAACGGAAACGCACAGTTTATAACGAAATAATCATAATTCTGTGGAGAAAAATGCCTGCGAGCGTGTTAGTAATGTTATTCATGTAAATGAGCAAGTTCTGTCTATGGCTTTGTGCAAATACGAAAAGCCAAAAGGTGCTTAACTATGAAATACGATGACAAGACAAACGGCGTTTGCTGCGCGTTTTTAATTACCATAATTACATAACTGCACTCACACCATCACGCACTCACGAACCCACACAAGCACGCACTCACGCACACAGCAAACTGTTGCCCACGCCTGGAAGTATGCAGTACATTCACCTAGGAAATCAAGGAGTAAAGGATGTGAGTTTTGTACACTCATAGAGCTGACTGGGCTTTTTACTTTCAAAGCTAAAATAACATGTAAATAGCAAGACAACATTTTTTAGATTCACTATTTTAGGCAGCGTAAGATTTGAACTTGGCTTAAAAAAAACACCTCAATTCTTTTAGCTTAGCTATATTTTACCAAAGCTAAGGATCGATCAAATTACTTAAATACATTTAGTAGTTCATTTTAATTATCTTTTTATTTTAATATAAAAATTTTATTTCGTATATATTTTAATGTTTATATTTTAACTATTAATTAATATTAAAGTTTTTATTTTCATACAATAATGTTATTTTGTATATTTTGCTTTCAATATTGTAAGTAATAATTACCTTTTTATTTTCTTGTTATTCATTTTTATTTTTCTGCTTATATTTGAAAAAAAAAAACAATAAAAAATTAAACAGCTCGCAAACCAATTAAAGTTTTTATCTAAGTCAAGCATGTGAGTTACTTTAATGTGATCATTTTATTCTTTTAAACCTAGTCACATTTAATTTCTGATACACATTTAAACTCCATATTTTTTTAGCTGAACAGACAACACTGAAGCGGTCTGAGGTGATTGGTGGTGTGGGGGCTGTCCCTTTATTGTTGTAATCGCATAAACTTAAATAGTTTTTGCCAGCCACTTTGCGGCTTTTAAATTATTTTGCGTGCTCCACTTGAGCGGAGCACCTTTATTTGGGGCCCCGCCCGTCGAACAAGGGTTGCGAAAGGTCCTCGCGGGCGCATTCTGTGTGCCGGGGACAAGGACCTTGTGGGTGGGAGGGGAAAATTACAGAGACAGCAGCAGGAACCGAAGTGGGAGTCGGGCTTAGTGTCAGTGTTTGAATGTTTAACTGGCTCCGTTAATTAAATTGCCCGTCTCTGGCGGAACCCCCAGCCCTTGGATACTTTCCACCTGTTTCCCGGCCGCAAATTAAGCCAAAGTTTTCCATTCCCGTTTGCAGGTTTTCTTCTGTCTGTTGCATAATTTGCACCCCAAGCTTCTTTTGGCCGGGGCTTCCCCTTTGGCGGTCGCGTGGCGGCACAAAAAAAAACTTGGCTAAATGGTTTGCCATTAATTTTTCGTGGCATGCCGGTTATTAACCCGCCTGCTACCTGGTACGTCTCCTTTCTATTCCCCATGTTGCAGTCATACTTTGCAGCGAGGGCGTGGAAGTTTTGTGGGCGTGGCTGACACAGTTTGCAAATCAAAGCAGAAAATCACAACTGGATTTGGGCGGGCTGTAACTAATTGAAAAATTACCAAGCCTCGGTCTGTAGATTGCTGTAAAGTAGAGTAAAATACACAAATTGATAGGTTTTTTTTTGCTTTTCACTATTTTTTTCGAGATTTAAACTTAATTATTTGTAAGCCTTATTTTGACATTGTCATTGATTTGATTACCTAATCTCTTTAATTATCGCTAAGAAAGACAAAAACAATCAAACTCAATTTACTCAAATTGAAACGAGTTCCTAAAATAAATATAAAAACATGCAAACATTAAATAAACACTAAGAGTAAGACTCACATTCCCAGTCTAATAAAAAGCCATCATTTTCACCCTACCCCCAAGTAATTTCCTCGTCAACTTGGAAATTTGTTCTTAGTTCTTTGAACTTAGTTCTATTGTTGTTGACTCAGGTCGGGGTCGGAATACACGTGACTGCTTTTGAAACTGGCTTACTTGATGATTTCAATTGAATTTCGGTCACATCTTCCGACAATCCGACAATCGAAATGAATTTTGGCTTTCATAAATAAATACTTTTGTTAAATTGTCCATGTTCAGTAGGCTCCGAAGTCGAAATCCGCATTCCCGGCTACGGATCCTTGTGCATGACTGCCCTGAAAATCCCACTCCGTCTGTTTGTCACTGGATTTGAATATGCTTTTAATGCTCATCACGTGGCTGGCCAAAAATTGCCCAAAGCCAGAAAGCCAGAAAGCCATCACGGGTTGGGGTCAGGGTTCAGGACCGAGAGTTTCGAGTTTCCAGTCCCTGGTCTCCATTGGATCAAAGGCGCATTTAAGCAGCTTACCGCTAAATGAAAATCGGTTGAAATTTTCATGAATTCCCATTCATTGGCGTAATGAAAAGTGCGGGAAAAATTCGATTGGCAAGAACTTTTAGCCAACAATTAGCCGAATTGAAGAACATTAATTGATTTTCGCCGTCAGTTTGATTTTCAATTTTCCGGCACGCCCCCAAAATCGAAGTTAAATGCGGCTAAAAACCAACAGTGGCAAAACAACGGCAAACATGGCGAAAAAATAGAAGCTAAATCTCTCAACTTTGATTGCAAATTTCTTTTTCCTCCACCGAAACATTTTTCAGCCCTCTCCCCCACAAAATCCACAAACAGCTGGAGCCCCAAACTCGGACTTTTTTCTAATTTTCCGTTGCAGTTCACTCGTTTTCTCCTTTTTTTTTTGCATACTTTTCGTTTTTTCTTTGCATATCTGCTTTTATGTGTTCAGAGTGGGATTCAATTTTATTACGGGATTATTTTGATTTCATTTAAATGGATATTAAAAGGATATCCACTAAATTTATCTTACTTTTCTGCTTTAAATTTAGCTTATAATTTAAATTAAATCAAATTATAACTTCAAAAACCTGCCAGAGGTAAGTTATAGTAACTGCAGTTTCGCAATGCATAAAGAACAACCAACCACAGTTTAGTGACTAATCAACAGCTTTGAGTTAATTTACAAAGTGTGACAACACTTTGTTAAGCATTTTCCCTTTTTAAACTTAATCCGCCCCTGACCTCCGACATCACATACATTTTGCATGTCCCTTTATTTTCTTATTTTCCAGATTTAGTGGGTAGCTTTTTCCAAGCCGGAACTTGCAAAAGTGTTGCTTGCAAATGTTTACAGTTTAGTTGTGCGGATGTGATAAAAACAATTTGATTGCAAAATAAACTGCAAAGAGCATCGAACTAGTGCGGAAGGACCAAATGGCAAAAAAAAGTGTGATTGGCGATTGGAAAATGGCATTGGCATTTTTGACAGGGCCCAGAATACAGGAGAAATGCTTTAGGAAGAGTGCAGAGCACCGAACCGGAATGCGAATGGGAAATGTTTGATTGAGTCCCCGTTTGAATTGATTTCGGACATCAGCAGCCGGCTGTTAAAGGAAATTCCCCCGAATTTCAAAGAGAAGAAAACTGAATTTTAGCTTACGCCTGGGTTATTTCACTTTTCAAAGTTGAGCTCCTAATTCGGTTAAGCATTTTATGGTTGCACACTCTACGAATGAGTGATACCTGAGTGTTTCTGGTTAGATTTGGATATTATCGAATGGGTTAATTGGCTGGATAGGTTGCAGTTACATTTTATGAAACTGATTACAAGTAACACTGTCTTTATTTCATATACTTTTTGCCATAAGAAACGAAGATTAACAATTTAATACTTTAAACTCTGAAATTTGTATTCTAATTTATGTCATTGAAGTAAAGCATACAAACCTCTTAATATTAATTATATTTTATATATGTTTTTGTTTTTCAATAAAATCGTTCCATTTAATTTACTTTTTGGGTGATTACAATCAAACTTACGATCATTGAACAAAGGGTTTCCAGCTTTAATTGGAATTAAATATACCAAAAACAAAGACATAATCCTTTCCATGATAATTTGTGTCAAGTAGAAACGTGGCCATTTTCATTGACTCCTTGTCCTTGTCCAGATGTCTGTTTGTCCTTGTGAACGCCTGTCTGTCAGTGGTAAGTTATGAGATTAATGGCAACAAAATGGTTGTGGCCTTCTATGGGCGTCTAATTACATTCTGTCCGTTTGACAAACGGGAACAAAAAACTCATTAACGCACTTGCAACATGTCCTAAATATAATATTCATAACAATTTCTCCATTTCCCCTCTTCTCTTTGGTTTAACATATGCGCAAAAGTTTCGGAAAGCTGTAAAAATAACTCAAAGTGAATTTGTTGAGTGTTCCGATACTCAGTTACCCTGTTTTAAACTATAATTAACACAATATATCAATATTTTATTTATCTTTTATTATTATTTTACAATCAAAACTGCTGATATTATAGTATCGTGTATGTATATAATTTAAATATATATCTTTAACTACATATTGCACATATTGCAACTATGTATATATTTTTGTTGTCTATAATTTTTTTTAAAATGGTATTAATATTGTACCTGTTACGGACCATGTGTCCTTGCAGTTTACGAGGTATAAAAACTGACGCAAAAGTGCAAATAAAAACGCAGTGTATGTCGCTCATGAGCGTTAACTTTTCGGTGAGTGTTGCCTTTATGCCAGTTGCCAGTGAATAAGGCTGGTGGGTGGAAAACGGTGGGTGGGCGGAAAATCCTCATGACTCCACTTATTCGCATTACACATGAGTGACTGTATTTGTGAGAGCCACATGTTTTACATGAATCACAGTTAGTTTTGGGATGCTTTTCCACTTTTCATGCCGGCGAGCGGGAAATGTGTACATAAACCACAGACGTGACAACAAAGCTGCGGGCACCCTTGTGCTGTGAGTGTCCTGCGAAAAGTGACAAAAGGCATTGACAGGAAACAAAACTGTCCACACGCAAAAACACAAACACAAATAATGCTGGGTCACAGAAACAAATGCAAAGACAAGCGAATGAAACGCAGCCAAACGAAACTTTTTGGTGGCCAAGGATCATGGTCACGGTCGCACAAACAGATAAGATAGGGACCCTTCGATTCGATTTCGGATCCACATGAGGATGTGGCTGCCAATTTTTATTGATGTTCGACCGCAAAGTTTTGGGGTCGTTTCTCAGACTTGAGCCATGACCTTTCTTGAGTTGTCATTTCTTAGAACTTAGAACTTCTTAGAACCTTGATGATTATTTTTATAATTATAATTGTTTTTATTTTGTAGCGTTTTTTAAAAATATAAATGTTTAAATATTCGATTTAGAGTAATTTTTAAACAATATAAATTTAAATTACATATGCAAATATTCTTCACTAATTTCATTTAAAATTTCCTAAAGAACAGTTGATTTAATGTCAAGTACTCGCCATATTATTTTTTAAAAATATTTATATTTACAGAAAACGGAACCATCTTTGAGTTTCTGTATTAAAATGAATTGATTCTTTTTACCCTAATAAGCAAACGGTCATTTTCATTTGGCTAATTTAAATTAAAGGTGCCTTTATATTTCATTTCGATACGAATAAACATATTTTTTCGAGTTTAATTGAGTTTTAAAACAAATAGATTTGAACCACTGCAGCACTAATGTTATCCCTATCAGTCTGTATCGGGAATCTGTATGTGCGGTGCAAGCTGTGTTTCTGCGGGTTTTGTGTGCTTGGCCAACTGTCAAGCGACTGTCAATTGTTAATTAAATGAATACCCTCGCCAGCTGCTGCCACCGAGTTCAGTTGATTTGTTTGACCAAGCTAAGGCTGTAGCTATCGCAACAAATATATATATCGTCTGACTTTTGGGACCGAACCTTCGAGACTGTCACACAAACTCAGTTGTGCACACACTTCTGCAGATACATTTATTGCAAAAGTTTGCTGCGACAGCATCTAATTTGTGTTAGCTTTATGTTAATGTTGTTACGGCCTTGACAGTTTTATTGCCCGAACTAATAACTTAATTGACAATTTGGACTCTAGGGGGAGGTACACTTTGCACCTGTTGTGCCGTAATGTGCGTAATTTATGAACTGAAACATTAATAATCGGCTCAATCGATGCTGCACAATTTGATTTATTAATTTTCGACATTGCGTTGGGTCAGTGGAGGGAATAATCCGATAAATGCCTGAAAGTATGCCATGTTTTTGGGATTTGTGCGGATTTCCTATGTATCGGATCCTCCCATAATCTGTAAAATATCCAAGAATATATTTATCACATCCATGTACAGATTGATGGCTGCGAATATGTATTCCTCTGGACTTATGGAGTACCTGTGTCTGCCGCCCATCATCAGTTGAGTGTCGTAAACTAAATAAACGGAAAACAGCAAAGCACTGATGGAGGCATATACGTAGGTGAAAAGACCACCGCCCACGAAAATGGTCAAGATGCCGAAAAGCAGCAGGATAATCAGGGAGCTCAACAGGAAGCCGCCCATCATGGTGAAATCGTACCGGGTTTGTAGTGCAAATAGAGTGAGTCCCAGGCAAACTGCAGCCGTAATCAAAACGGCTATGAAAATCTCCATCGGAGCAAAGCGACACGCAGCTATGGCCAGTAAAAAGGATTCGGCTATTGTGAAGGCGGACAAGAAGAGAAGGTTCAGCGGCGATCGACGACGGAGGTTCTCGTTACAGGCCAAGGTGACCAGTATAGCCACGACCGTAAACAGGGCCAAAAGGAACATCCAAGTGCTCTTAGCCACCCCCAATCGCACCTGCTTGTCTATTGTAAGGGCCGTGATCACCACCAGCGACGTAATCATTTGCAGCAGCAGAATGAGGTACACCTTCCGAATGAACCCACGGCGGATGCTGCTGTTGCAGAACTCCAAATCCTTGTCCTGACCCTCTGGTTCCGTCTCCGATCCGTAGGCTTCATATCTTCCCAACGGAATGCTCTCCGCCTGGCGGCTCCGATTTCCATACTGCTGCACTGGTTCTCCGACAACCTGCATTCTGGATATCACTCTTCAACTGGCTATTTTATAAATTTCAATCGGTGATATTAATAAAGGTAATGTAACTGGTATTTTTTACTTGACAGAAATGTCATAAATAAATGATTTATTATATAATTTCAAATCACGAAAAAGCTGATTATACTGCGATTACCAACAGCATAAATTCGGCTTAAATTATTATTTTTATTAATAAAAGTATTTATTTGCAAGTTAATTTTCTAAAGACTCATTTAAGACCCTTTTAAAAAAATGCATTAATGTATATTGGTAGTCTATATTAAAAGCATTAACAAATTTTTTACTGTTTTACCTATATAAGTTATGAGTTGCTTCGTTAAATATTTATTGACGACCAATTTGGGTTTTAAGTATAAATTAAATTCGCAATCTTGCACAAAACAAAAAATTTTAAATCACTTTTAATCAACTATAAACAATTTCAGCTTGTTTTTCAGCTTGGTGGGTCAACAGTTTATGGCTTGATCTTGCCTGTGGTTGGATTAGGCAGCAACAACTACAACAGGTGTTGCCTTCCCGCCCGGAACTCATCCCTATCTACCCCTCTCTCTCTAGCGCTTCTGCGCCATGAATGTGATGAGAATTCAGCAAAAGTTGAGAGCTTCCCGTAGGTTTTTCAGATTGGATGAAAGCGAAACGTTGTGCTCAGTACTTTCGGCTCCTTTGTGGGCTGGAGTGGCCGAAATAAAACCGAGTGGGGACTGCACTTGGCATTTTCTGATTGCCTGGCCCCCCCAATTTGACGTAGTTCTCTGTGGCAACCAAAGCCGGGCTTTTCGTACCCAACTCGAACTGAAATAGGGAACATAAAAAGCCTTTTATACGTACGGTTTTGGTGAATATTTAAAGGGACGAAATTAGCCAAATTCTCGACAGAAATTAACTTGACATTTGGCAGAGCAAGATGGCTAGCTGTTCATATGTCGGTTTTTCCAATTGTGCCTAAATTCGGTGTACTTTTGTTGGCACACATCAACCAAAGTGGCATTTAGTCATGGCCCTATAGGCCAGGATATAGCACACAAATCCTACCGTGGGCACGTCACATGTTGCGTTTTAAAGTTGAGCACCGCACCATCCACTTTTTAAAGCCCTAAGCTTCTGTCAAACAACTATCAACAAGTTTTGCTTTTTGTCTGTTTTATTTTTGTTTTTTGAGGTGGTTGGAGGAGTTAAGCCCCAAGCTGAAGTGCGTCACGTGCCCGCAAATTTTCCCCCGAAAATGGCTAATGAAAACAGCCCCAGTCAAAACAGAAACCAGATAAGGACAGCACAAAAGGGAAAAAGGGCGGTAGGGATTTTCAAGACTGGGCGTGGCTGGCAGACATCTATCAACACTTTTTAAACTTTAAATGAGTTTTCTAGCGCGACATAAACTTTGCCTGGTTGGGGCCGAAAAAAACACACAGAAAAAAACAGATACAGAAACTAAAAAAGCCGCTGCACAGGGAAAAAATATAAAAAAAAACTTTTTAAGTTTTGTTGTGACATATTTTCAGAGCGCTATTTACAACGAAACTGAACAGTTATTATTCTCATTTTGAATTTCAGTAATCAGTAGTTTATGGTAAAATCTGATAATGTTTTTTGGATGCTTATATCTTATTAATTTCAATGACAATGAGAATGATATTATTTTTCTGCGTGAAAAAGAATGACTCCGAAACGTAGTTGAACCACAAAATCGATAACAAAAGACCGAGAGCTAAACGCTGGTCAAAAGTACAGAAAATGGGCAAAAAATATAAATGGACCACAAGCCAGTGATTCTGGCTCAACAAATGCTAAACAACCCATGAACAAACCAACAACGAGCTGCGAAAAAGCACTGACCAACAACAAAATATTACGCTGTATATACGATATTTACTTGTTTAGGGGAAGGCCATTGCAGTATAATCTATGCAAATCCACAAGAAATCTCCTTTTGCGGATTTAAAGTTGATAAAAGTGTGCTGCAGCCATTTCAGTCCGTTTGATGGCGTTGGTGTTAAGAGTCCAACGACAAAAAACACCCGGACGAAAACAGGGCAAGAAATGGTTGTAATTGTGTGCGTGTGCTGACACACGGATACACACACACACAATCACATATACTTATAGAGTACAACACTCCATGATTCGTGTGAATTTTCGAGCGCAGAGAACTCAATTCTTCGCGAACATTTCCTTTTTTTTATGCATTATTACGTTATGTTTTTATGCATATTTTTATTTCATTTTTATTTTTTTCTTGTTTGTCATTGTTGAATTTTTGTGCTTGGCTGTGGGGTCCCAAAGCCATTCACTCAAGAACCTCAACCCTTCACCGGGGTCATTAAAATTTACAATTCGCCAAGGGCAAGAAACTTCATTGCACCAGAATTCGTTGGCCTTGTTTCTGATGCAGTCAGCTGTCTTTCTTCTGCGGGTCCACAATTAATTTTTAATTTTGCAAAAACACTCGCCGTTGAGTTGCAGACAGGTTCAGGAAGAAAGTTCTTTACGTGTTGCATTAAAAGGTCTGTCTTTATTTTAAGACTAAAAACATTAATATAATATTATTTCAAAAATCACAGTCCCCTAAAGGCATTTTTTCATTAAAATGCTAATTATCTTGGGACTTCTAGAGTATAAATCAACAATAAATGTTACAAGACAACAACATTTTTGGTCAGTCTAAACTGCGAAATGATGCAAATATTTGTTCTCTTAAGATGAACAAAATATGATGCATAAATACTTGAGCTTTGAGAATTTCTATTGTAATTTTTACATTTTAAAGAGAATGGCTTTTTTCTGACAAAAACTTAGTACTATATATATTTTCGGCTTAAATTCCTGAGTTGTACTAAAAAAGTTGCCTTGTGAGTTTTGCCAACTCCATAATGGAGTCACTGAATCCTTTGAACATTTTAAGCAGCCCGACACCTTTCAGCCCAGTTGATTCATAACGCAATTTTTGTGTGGATGCTCAGCATTTGCATTTTGCATTCGCATGGCTTTGGAGTCGGGGCTTGTGTCATGCAAATTGGCAGCTTAATGCCCTCTTCGGTTCAATGACTCCATGCTGAATCGACTGAGATGTGGATGTGTGGAAAAGTGTTTAATATGCTGCACATAAAGCTCCCCGACGGCTGCTTGCAGTTCACAATTTTCAGCTAGACTGCTGCGACTGGAGCGCAAATATTGTTCAAGCTAGCAAAAATATTTGCCAATAAACACCACACGCACACAGGAGACAGAGCCAGAGACCGAAATGGAGGCGAAAGTGGCAAAGTTTAACCACAAAATGTCCGTAAAGTTCATGGCCATTGGCTCATCATCGAAGGCACTCAGACAGAAGGATCCAGGATCCTTGGTCCTTGGTCCGGCGGCTATAGAGACGAGGGACAATCAGTCAGTACAGGACGAACAGCTGCTCCTTGTCCTCCGTAGATGTCCTTATGCAGTTTAAGCCAAGTTATGCTCTTTTGGCCCCAAATAAGTGCAGGAAATTTTGGGGAATTTATGTTTGAGCCAAACTCTTGTTTAATTCAATTTCAACTTTGCCTCAAATCGGCCACTCTGACACTTATTTGTTGGGTTATTTTTCGGGTGGTTTTCGTTTAATTGAAATTCATTTTGCGCTGCCTTCTGGCGTTTTCTGTTCGATATCGCATATATTTTAATTGTTCTGTGGCCGAACCGTCTTCGTTATGCTTACAACTTTAAATGCCCACAGAAATGCAGCCAAATGGTATTTTGTTTCTCAGTGGTTTGTTTTAGTTTGAGATCTTTTATTATTGGGTTTCATTTTACTATTCATTTAATCCCTTATTGCAACAAACTGATGACAAATGTTTATCCCTTGGGGCCGTAAAAAGGAAATGAAAGTAGATGGGAAAATTGTAAATCAATCGACAGCACATTGAACACTTCAGCTCACATTGATAGATAATAGGTTTTGTTGTGCAACTAACAGGCTTTATTGTGTTTTTATTTTTAAATAAATTGGTTTTGGGTTTTGTAAAGGGATTATATTTGTTAAAGGCAAAAAACAAAAGTGTTTGGATTGCCGACGGCTTAGCTTAATGTTTTAAACTTTACACACTCTCCGCATAAATTGACCTTAAACATGTAAGTGAAAACAAATAGGGACTCAGAAAATACAATAATATTATTATATGATTATTTTTCATGGAGTGCTTTACCGAAAAGGTTTCTTAAAACTTTACCTGCGGAACACACACTCTCGGGATTCTATCCTCCGTACTTGCGCGAAATGCCAGAAATACTATTGCAAAGCAATTGCTTTTGGGATTTATTTTATTTGGGTTTTTGAGTTTCACAAAAATAAGCGAAATTTTCCGCGCACTTGTTCGCATGCATGCATGAATAAATATTTTATTGCATACGAGCACTTGGGGGTCGTTGGTTCTTCGTACTTTTCGGATTGTGTCAGGGAAAGCTCATAACAAGGAAGTTTTGTTTTTGGGATTATTATAGTTGGGACTGTGGGATACGCATATCAGAAAGCACAATTTGTTGACAAACTGGATTGCAGTACAGTAAACTGAATTACCCGCACATTCAGAAACCGAAATGTGGACTTGTTAAAAGCCCTAAGTAATTCGCGGCTATGACCCATATCGTTAAGCTAACTAAACTTTACTCAAACTGTGAAACTACCTAAAGTTCGAATAAAATTTCTACAATGGTAAATGTGTTTACTCTGCTGGATTTGGAAAATTTGTCATTGTGTTGTCAAGTTTTGTGGCAATCTGAGCCACACAAAAATGACAAATGCGGGGGCCAAAATGCCCCAGAACTTTTTAAGTTGATGCCCTTTTTTCTGACTGACATTTCCTTTAGCCTTTAATGGAATCGTAAAGCTTCTGGTAACAAAATGTTTGTTTCAGTATTTTTGTGTTATTTTGGCAAAGGGCAGAGAGTGGCTGCAAGTACGCCCACTGCATGGTTTTTACGCCGTTCACTATACACTGCAGGAAATTATACTTGATGTTTATCCTTTAATCATTAAGATTAAATGTGCATTCAGTTATTTGATTTTTAAGGAATGAAATCCCTAA